GCTTTCCACCCAAAACTAGGCTCCGTAAATTTCCCTTAAAAGGTTTGACTAATAACAAAGGTGCAGTAGGTAAACTATTATTAGAGGTTATTTAAAAAGCACCCTCAAGGGGCAAACCTGAAATCTTAAAAGAAGCCATTTTAAGTGAAGATCCCACTCTTAACTAGTCCTGTGTCTCCGGATGGCTACTCAGGGGACCCCTAGAGGATGGGGGAGTCCAGGAACCGGCAATAAGGTCTGGGAAGTGCAATGATTAAAAAGAGACACCGCCATAAAAATCATTGCAGGCTTAATTAATTATGCTCATTAAGGTGTAAGGAGCTGTCTGTCCTTGAGGGTATAGATTAATTATTCTGAATAAAGGGAACAGATGCAGATATGCATGGTTCCATTTCTGTCTTTTCTTCCTTCAGCCTTTCTTCTAACTTAAGGCCATACCTAACATTAAGATGCCTCAGAATTGGTCCTTAAAAGACTCCAATTGCAACTTTGATATTTTGAGCTATTTGTGTTACTTTTAAACTGAGTTTGAGTTTCTGTAGTTTGTCTAACAGGGAAATTCAGATTCTAGTTCAATCTTTAGCAGGGAAGGAACAGTACATATTAAAACAGGAGGTTTAAAGAGATCTGTTGTGAATAAATGAATAATAAAAAATTTTTTAAAAGTATATGTTAGATGGAGTTTATGAAAGTTTATGTGTATAATTAAGTTGACTGCAATTTAAGAGTTATCTAAGGGATTTCGTAAAATCAAAATATTGCTTGTGGAACTCACCACAAGGATTTTGACTCTTTAGGAAACCGAGTCCAAACTGAATGTCTTTTCAGTGATTTTAATACATTTTATCATGCTAAAAGTGTGTGGGCTGTATGTCTAAATTTCACTTAAATGCTATACAAAGTTTATGGGGTTAAAGTTATACAAGTTTAAAGTAATTGACACTTGGTCAAAAAACTAAAACTCAATTCTATCTGGGGCACTAACACTGTCTCCTTAAGCGTGTAAGAGGTCTACAAGCTTTGCTAAATCCTACTCTAAAGGTAAAAATTTAAATTAACAGCCCTAGTAAGGAAAAAGCAATGTAGCCTATTGTTTCCTATGGCAAAGCAAATGTAATTTATTTTAGGGTAAAAGGCATTCGATGCTGTGGAGGCATTCCTCTTTCCCCTAAAGATCTATAAGTTTATCCTAGCTGTGAGAAAAAAGTATTTAAGAGAGCCATAATTCAAGAAATGTCATTTGCTTATGATAAAGGTAAAAGTTTCATTATATTTGATTGTGAGACTAGTACTGTAACTTTTTGGAATATAACCTTTGCTTATGGATCAGCTTCTCTGAAATTATTTGCTCAGGCTCTCTTCAGCTCATTCCTTAGAACAGGGACTGCTGGCCCAGACTCTACCACACTGGGAGATTACATCCTGATCTGGACTTGGAGTGGAGAGAAATTTGAGCCATTCTGGGAGGAACCTCATCAGGTGTTACTCACTACTGAAACTGCAGTACATACTGCTGAGACGGATGGACCCACCCACTACTGAATAAAACGAGCTCCCAAGGAGGAACAATGGACTGAGTCTCCAGAGCCTGGAAATACCAAAGTAACTTTAAAAAGACTATATTGGGACTATTTTCCCTTGGGAAACTGTATTTACCATTGATGTCACCCAAACTTCTCCTTTGACTGTTAAGTTTGATGCATGCCCTGTACTCTCCTGTGGTGATCCCCAGGGACAATTTCAATTCTGTGCTAAGACTATATATACATGCTCATACCCTGGCCCCAGAGAGGCCATGATGACTATCATGATGACTTTGATAAAAACTTAGATAGGTCATGTGGGGCTGTTCTGACGTGGGGTGGACTACACAGTATAAGGGTTGGACTTCATCAGCCTACAGGAAGGGAAAATGCGAACAATTACAAAGAAAGATTCAAATTAGTAAAGCTCTCTCTCCCCAGTTGCCAACTCTACCAATACAACCCCCTTTTATTGGTCATAGATGACCCACATACCATGATCATAGAGCCTTCCATCTTGAGGCAGTATGAATTGGGAGCTGATGTTTCCAAAAGAAACCCCACAATTACATCATCTCCTGACGATAGGCCCCCTCAAACCTAAGAGTGACCAAACCAAGTTAACTGTAGTGAAGGTTAAGGATTTAAAAGCCAACCATCGATACTGAAACTGGCTATGGGGAATATTCTGTCCACACCTTAAAAAAAAGCAAAATTACACATGTGCAACAGGAAGGCCAGAGCCTCAAGCTGCCCCTTTCCCTTTGGGATGAACCTCAAACTCTGCTAAAATGAAATATATAATAACCCTCTTCCAAAAAAAAAAAGGACAGCTGGCTGGGACAATGAGTCTTGTATGACCTTGTCACTACTGTTTCCTGTGGTCAAAGATTCTGGGGGGCAAAAACCACCCTGGTTGATTAGACCTCCATCCTAAGACTCTAACTACACCTGTGCCTCTCAGGGTTGGGGGAGGAATTAGAGTTCCTGGGAAATGCATCCGGGTGCAGTGAGGCCGATCCTTTGGAGAGTTAGGCAGTCAGCCCACTCTGACTGTTTCCCAAGCACACGTCTGGCCGTATTGTGGTGGACTTTTACTTGAGACTCTTCTGGTCAAATGGAGTGGGACTTGCACTTTAATCCAATGGGCTATCCCTTTCACCCTGGCATTCCAATGACCCAAATCTTCCCTAACCATTTCTACATAGATGCCATTGGGGTCCCACAGAGCTGGGGGTGCATTCCCAACAACACAGCTCTGGATGGGACAATAACCAAGGCTCTCCAAGGCCTAACAGCCCTGTCAAACAACTGGCTAAGAACTCAGGGATAACTGACCCTTTACTAATTAGCTAGAAAAATGGTTTGGAAAATGGAAAGGAGTAATAGACTTAATTCTAACATCCCTCATTGATGAATTTGGGGCCATGGCCTTAATTGGGTGCTGAATTATTCCCTGTGTACGAGGATTGATTGTTTGGCTCATAGAAATTACACTAAACATAAACTCCTGTGTCACACCAGCTGTTGTTAAGCACAGCTGAAACAGAAAGTCAATTAATGTTAAATGAGTTTGAAGAAAAGAATATAAATTAAAGGGGGCAATTGTGAGAAAGCAGTCTTTTCTATCAAAGTGTGTGTCGCCATTTTAATTACCTGCATTGTCTGTAGTTCCAGGTTCTTCTTCTGAATTCTTGCTAAGCCCCTTTGCCCAAAAAATTTGCCCTCCATGTTGTGTATCTTAATCCCTCCCCCAAGTCAGTATAAAATTTCAGCCAATCGAGAAGATGGCCCTGCCCTTTTGTGCATGCTGTACCATGTGCCCATGCACCCTTCTGAGACAATTCTCCATTTCTGTGTCTTCAATTGTGACTACAGTGGTCTTCGGGGTTCTTATTTCTAACAGGGTGGACTTGTAATAGCTAATTTTATGTGTCAACTTGACTCTTGACTAAGCAATGAAGTGCCCAGAAATTTGGTCAAATATTATTCTGGGTGTGTCTGTGACAGTGTTTCTAAATGAGATTAACATCTGAAACTAGATTGAGTAAAGCAGATTGTCCTAATGAGTAGGCTCATCTAATTACTGCAGATCTGAATAAAATGGAAATACCCAATAAGAGGGAACTACTCCTGCCTATGATTGGGACATTGGTTTTGACTTTCCAACTCAGATGGAAACATCATCTTGGTCTTAAATTGGCCAGCTTTCAGATTAAAGATATACCTTAGCTCTCCTGTCTTTTTTCTTTTTTGTAGTTCTGGGGCTTGAACTCAGGGCCTTCACCTTAAGTCACTCCTTTGTTTGTTTGTTTGTTTTTGAGATAGGGTCTTGAGAACTATTTACCCAGGCTGGCTTTGAACTGCAATCCTCCTGATCTCTGCCTCCTGAGTAGCTAGAATTACAGGAGTGAGCCATCAGCGCCCACATCTTGGGCCTTCACATAGCCAACTGTATGTAGATCTTCTCAGCCTCCATAACACTGAGCCAATTCTTTTTCTTTTGGCAGCACTGAAGTCTGAACTCAGGGCCTCATGCTTGCTAGGTAGGTAAGTGCTCTACCAATTGAGCCACTCCACCAGTCCTTTTTTGTTCTAGGTATTTTTGAGATAGGGTCTTAGGAACTATTTGCCTGGGCTAGCTTTGAACCTCAATCCTCTGATCTCTGCCCTCCCAGTAGCTCGGATCACCAGCAACAGTAAGCCAAACCCTTACAGACAACACACACACATACACATGCATACACAATTTGTTCTGTTTCTTGGAGAACCCTTTGTAATCACTATATTTCACATTTAAAACCTCTTTGAAGCACATCTTCCATATCACACAATCCACCCTTTCCCATCTTTCTTCCTTCTTATATTTACTTATTTTTTATACATGTTTTCATTTCTCATAAGAAGATCGCTAAGAGTGCAATTTCTGGATTATATGGTAAATTTATGTTATGTTTTATATTTCAAGAAACTGTCAAACTGTTTTCCAAACTGTCTGTGCTATTTTACTTTCCTACTACCAATATATGAGCATTTATGTTTCTCCAAATTCTCTCCAACATTTTTTATTATTTCTTTACTATGGCCATTTTTTTTCGGCCATTCTTTTTAAAACAAAAAGATTTTTTTTAAGTGCACTGGAAGACTAGGGTTTTTAAGAGGTTAAAAAAACAAAACTGTTCACTAAAATTGAATGCGGTCCTCCAGCGGCCAGGGGGCGCTCTAAGACACTGTTCTCTCAGCCTCTGGTCGTGCGGTTGCTAGGAGACGAGATGCATCTTTCCGCAGGAGAGCTGGGATCTCCGGATAGCTGGAGTTCTCTAATGCGGTAGTGCTGAGAGCTAAGGCCCAACTACCTTAGTTCCAGGGGAAGTTCCAGAAAGCGACTTGCTAGGGGCGTTTTCTTTCTGCCCTCTCTTAACGCGCGGGCCAAGAAAGGCGGAGACAACTTGCCTGGGCCCACTCCGCCGCCTAACCATGCCTAAGAAAGGGAAAAAAGCCAAGGCACCCCTGACCGATGAAGAGCAGCTGCTTCTGTTTCAGCAGAAGTTGTTGGTAGAGGAGGAGATGGCGAAGAAGAAAGAGAGACTCCTCAGCCAATTCTTGAAGGTGATGGCCTTCTGCATTATGTCCTGCCCACCCACACCCACCCCCTGAACTGGCCCTGCGTCCTGGGTTCTATCATTCTGGCAGTCTTATTTTTATTCTCACCTGCCCTCCTCCGGAAGTCCTGAGACCCGACACACTTAGGTTGCAGGCAACACTGGTAGGCAGGGAAATTTCTCTGGGAGGAAGACTGATGCAATACAGATTGCCAGTCTCAACTGAGCCCCAGTAGGACAGCAGGTGCTTACCAGTTGTCCCAATTCAGCTGTCTTGAATTCTGATATTCTCCCTGGAGATGGTTATTAGAAACAACATCTTGTTCCGAATGCTTCATGCTGAAGGAAATGCACTCTTGCCCTCTCTAAAATGCCATCAGGCTGTTCCTATCTTCCTTCAGGCCCTCCCCCAAACCAAAGCAGGAGTTCCCTAAGCCTTAGCTGTCAGGAGCTTTGGTCCTTCAGAAAACATAAGTGGTAAAGTGTCAGTTGAGAAACTCAGAGTGGTCTTGTTTGGGCCTTGACCTCCTGGAAGTGTATTTGTTATTTCACGCAGGACAAACTGGCCAAGGAGGAGCACAACAGTGCAGTGAACCTTAATAAGATTACCACACAGTGGAGAACCGTGCTTCGGGAAGTCAAGACCAGAGAGCTTCATAAGGACATTGAGATCCTCAGCCAAACATTTGAACGAGTGGTGGACTGCAAAGACAGTGTTATCAAGGTAGGCATTCTCTTCAAGGAAACACTTGCGTATGGTTTCCTTGGCTTCTTCTCTTAATAGATTGGGCCTAGTGAATTAATTAATAAATCAATCTTAAAGCTCGTGCAAGACACAGGATGGGTCACATCTAGGCTATTTGTAATAATGGTTTTCACTGAAAAAAAAAATAGAGTACTGCACTGTCATTCATCCCTATCCCTAGAGGAGCCATCATTCTTGGTCATCTACTGCCCCAAACCAGTACTATACAATATTAAAGTTGTAAGGTGCAGTCACTTGAATTTAGTCCCACACCTCTATGTCAATGTCAGAGGCTCAGTTCCAGAGATGGGGACTGACTTGTCACAAGGTCACATAGCTAGTCAGTGGGAGAAGCAGGATTAGAGCACAGGTTTGTGGGGGGTTTTTTGTTTGTTAGTGGTACTAGGGTCTGAACTTAGGGCCTAGCACTCGCTAGGCAGGCGATCTACTTGTGGAGCCACACTCCCAGCCCGTTCATAGGTTTTTTGACTCCTATTCCAGTGCTTCATTCAACCAAATTATTTGACTTCTTTGATTTAATCTCAATGGCCCATGTAAGAGCAGTTCTGGACTTCTAAGCAGCTCAGTCAGCATCCTTATGCTTTTTTGGTGGGGGCGGAGGTGCAGGATTGAGACAAGTTACCATATGTAACCCAGGTTGGACTGGACCTCACTATGTAGCCTAGGCTAGCTTCAAACGCTCAACCCTCCTGCCTCAGTCTCCTGAATGCTGGAATTGCAGGTATATGCCACCATATCCAGCTCCATCCTTATGCTCTTGACAGGGTTTGGTTTTGTTTTGGCAATATTGGGGTTTGAACTCAGGGCCTCATGCTTGATAGGCAGGAACTCTACCAGCCCTTTTTTTGTGAAGGGTTTTTTCCAGATAGGGTCTCCCAAACTATTTGCCCCAGCCAGCCTCAAACCATGATCCTCCTGATCTCTGCCTCCAGAATAGCTGGGATTATAGACATGAGCCACTGGCGCCCAGCTTCTTGAAAAGGTTCTTTTCTTCTAAGGGGTTTTGATGTATCTGTCTCTTTTTTTTTATCCTACCTTTTACATCTTTCCTGCTTACTGACTCCTACTTAGTCTTTACCATCTCAAACAAAACAAAAAGTCCCACACTAACAGCAAATATTCACAGTCAACATGGTATTCCCCCTCTAGAAAACACCCATCTCTCCTTTAAAGCCTAAACCTTGATGGGAAAAATATTAAGCAGACCCTGGGCAGCTTCAAGAGATGCATACTAAAAGTCCTCAAATTTTCAACAAATTACCCACTAGTTATACCTTATGAATTTTAAGTGGCATTTTCAAGAATTGTACTGGGAATTATCAAATAACTATGGGAAGAGAACCATAATCAGAATATTTCAATCCATTGCAGTTTTTATCCTTATTAAGAGCTCAAACTGTCCTTTTTGCCAGTGAAAGGATTCCAATCTTTTCTTGCTGCATCCACCCCTGTTCTAAGTCCTTCTGGCTTAAGGTTCTGTGGACAGAATGAGCTCAGCATGGTTCTTCTTCTTTTCTTTTTTTTTTTGTGGGGGGTCGGGGAAGGTGGGAATCTAACCTAAGGCCTTGAGCATGCTATGCAAGACTTGCCTGACTGGGCCGGGTGTCCTAAATGGTTAGTGACTGATTCTAGCTGCTAGCTGAGAGCTCAGTTAGGCCGTTGATTAGAATGCTTTTCACATGGCCCTTCCATGTATCTTGGGCTCCCAACAGCATGACAGCTGGGTTCCTGGAGTGAGCATCCTAAGAACAAGCATTCCAAGGGGCAGGATGGAGAAGCTACCTGGTCAGTTAATGGCTGTGTTTAGAACTGATTCGTGTCACTTCCACTATAGATTCAAGAAGTCATAGGATCCACCCAAATTCAAGGAGATGGAAGAATAATCTACCTTTTGATGGGAAGTGATGAGGTCTCATTGTAGAAAACTGTAGGATAAGAGATTTTGCTGTGCTCATCTTTGCAAAGTCTAATTTGCCATAGTAAGCTACTTCATCATGGCTCCTGAGTCCATCTCACATGACTTTATTAGTCTTATGCTAGGCAAGAGCTCTATCACTGAGTTACAGCCCTTTTGTAAAAGTTTTATTTTGAGACAGGGTCTTGTTAAAATTGCCCAGGTAGGCCTCAAACTTGTGATCCTTCTGCCTCAGCCTCCATGTGCTGCTATGCCTGCCTTCTTTGCTATTTTGTATGACAGAATAACCTGGTTCGATTTATTTTCTGCTTCAAACCTCAAAGCAGCCATTTCTCCAAGGATCCCTGCATCCTTTTAGTGGTAGCCCCTCAGTGTGAATGTTTGTTGTCCATAGGACACTGGCTGCCTTCATGAGGCTCCTTGAAATCACTGTTGCTTTGCATTCAAGACTGAGTGGGGAGGAGGAGGGCGGGGTGGGGGAGACTGAGCCAGCACTCCTAATGCCAAAGAGTTGGCATTAGGAACTAAGGGGAAAATGTCATCATGCCATTCAGTTTAACCAGCTGCATACATTTTTATTTCCTCTCACACATGTCACTTGGCCGGAATGGTAACTCTCTCTTTCCTGCCCAGTCTTTAGCTAAGGACCTGTCGGAAGCTGAGGAGCAGTATGCCTATGCCCTGCGCAGCCACCTGCACAACGTTGATCAGCTCTTGGCCCTGCAGAGGCGCAGGCTCAATCTCCTGGAGGAAAGTTACAACATGGAGCTGGAGACCTTAACCAAGGAGTTTGAGACAGAAAGGTATGGGCTAAGAGAAGATGGGTAATTGAATCCACAGGAATACCCAGAGTCTGTGTCTATAAGCAAGCAGCTAGTACCTTGGAACATCCCACCTTGATTATGACATGATTCCTGGCAGGGAAGATCCTGAGTTCCTTCTAAATGAACTTGGGTTTTGGCTTGCAGCTTTGTCATACCTTCACCCCAGCCAAGCCCTGTCTGTGTACCACTACCACCCACTTACAGCTACCAAAATCCTACCAGTCTGGCAGCAGACAGGGATGGGAGAGAGATTTTACTATAAACTTTTGTACATTTTTTTGTATCACACCAATGTACTACCTATTAAAAATCAAAATAAAATCTTATTCTTTCTGGCCCTAAAAAAAAACACAGCCCTCCTTTCCCTTTGTTCTCTGTCGGTACCTAAGAGTTTGTGCCATTCATGCAGTTTTATTAAGTACTGCCTTAAGTTGTTATTATTGGTCTGTATGTTGTATTCACCAGATTCTTTTTAATTTTTTTGGTGGTAGTGGGGTTTGAACTCAGGGCCTCAGTCTTGCTTGGCAGGCGCTCTACCACTTGAGGCACTCCACCAACCCTTTTTTTTGGGTTTTTTAAATTTTGTCTTGTTTTTGATGATACTGGGGCTTGAACTTGGCCTATACCTTGAGCCACTCCACCAGCCCTTTTGTGTGATGGGTTTTTTCAAGACAGGGTCTCTTGAACTATCATCCTGGGTTAGGTTCAAACCATGATCCTCTTGCTCTCTGCCTCCTAAGTAGCTAGGCCTACAGGCGTGAGCCACCAGCGCCCAGCTGTTGTATCCATCAGAACAGAGACAGTGTCTTATCTCCTGTAGGAAGACAATTATTGACCAACATGAGAAAGAGATTCACTACCTACAAGATGTCTTCATGGCCATGGAGCAGAACTATACAGATTCCGAGTATGAAAGCAAGCTGGAGTTCCAGAGTATGTGGGATGATCTCAAAAACAAGGTACAGAGGGAGAGTAGAGGAGCAGGAACTGGAAGAGAAGTGAGAAAAATTGCTCAAGGCAACTAGAGTTAATAAAGGCAACACAGTCAATAAAAGTCTGTTGCCACTGTAGGTGTCTCTAGTGGTTTTTGCAATTTTATGAAAATTGGTTGGGAGGATTGTTCTAAAATGTCAAGGGAATGAATTTTGGAGCAAAAAAGCACCATATGGCTACATCCCCGTGATTCGCAGATAAAGAAACTAAGCCCCAAGGAAATGGAATGACCTGCCATAGTCATGCTGATCTGTGGCAGAACCAGAAGGAGAATTTAGATCTCCTGCCCCTTGGAGCAGAGTGCTTTCCTCCATCCTGGAGGTTGCAAACCTACCCAGTCCACAGACCTAGGTTTGAGTATAGGGTTCTTGCTCTTATTTTACCCCAGTGCTTAATAAAAATGTTGAGTAAGTTTCCTACATTTAAAAATTGGAAAGATTTCACACAAAACCCAAATTTTTAGCTTCCTTGGAAAAAACTTAAACATCTGGGACCAGTGGGCCACGTTTCCAAATGGCACCATTCATGTAGAGCTGAGCGTGCCCCCAAAGGAGCATCTCCTCCCTGCTGGCTGTGAGCCCTACACTGCATATGAAACTTACATGTATCATCTGCTTGGATTTGTATGCATTTTCATGGCCTCTGCACTAAACAAAGCTACAAACAGCTTGAAAGGGAGAGGTTGCTGGTGAAAGGGCTCTAATAGAGTAGTTCTGAGCATTTGGTATTTGGGGAACTTTTCCTAGAATTTAGAAGAGAAACATTTTCTACGAATACAACTGGAGAACACAGTGGAAGATCTATGGAAAAGGTTCCAGGACGCACTCAAGAATTACACTGATGCCACAGAGGATCGGAAGATTGCCTTTGAGACTCTAAAGGTGAAGGATGAGAAAAGCTCCAAAGAGATTGAAGCACAGATGAAAAAAATACAGAAACTACAGGTTAGTAAATACTAACTTTTAACTGCTCCAGTATCCCCTGTTCCTCTCTGCCTCAATTTCTCCTCGGTCTCATCATTGATCAGTGGGTGGGAAGAGATGATAAGCTCTGATTTCAGGCCCCAGGCTACACTTCAGCCCCTCTGTTGGTTAAGTGCTTCCTCAATTCACTGTGCTCCTCAGGAGGCCATAAGCATTTCAAGAGGCAAGATCATGCTACACAGCCGTGACAGTGAAGAGCAGAACCAGTGTATCCGTAACGACAAGGAGTTGGTCCTTGTACAACTGCGAAAACTTAAAGCCCAAAGGACTCAGGCCCGGGCAATATCTCAGGAGAACTTAGTCAAACTCACCTTGGAAAGTAATGCCACCCTCAAGGCACTGAAAAAGATTGTTGATAAGGTAACAAGGGGAGAGGGCAGTTGGAACTATGGCTGAAAGTGAAAGGGACTCAGGAGAGGTAGAAGGAGGGTCTTCTCCTACTTTCTGCCTCAGTGGATACCTGTTTTATTTAATCCTCCCCTGCTCTTTACATGTGAAATGAAATAATAATGAATTAACTTTATAGTAAGAATATAGTGTCCAGAGCTGGGCATAGTGGTACATGTCTATAATCCCAACACTCAGGAGGTAGAGGCAGGAGGATTATGAGTTCAAGGCCAACCTGGGCTACATAATGAGATCCTGTCTCAAGGGCTGGGGGTATAGCTTAGTGGTAGAGTGCTTGTCTCAAAGGTGCAAGGCCCTGAGTTCAATTCCCAGAACCACAAAACCAATCAAACAAAAAAGAATATAAAGTGCCAGGTGTGGTGTTATTCCTTGCCTCTGCCTATAGTCTCAGCACTTGGGAGGCTGAGGCAGGAAGACTGGGAGTTTGAAACCAGTCTGGACTACACAGTGAGTTCCAGGCCAACCTGAACTACATACCAGGACCCTGCCTCTAAAATAAATGAAATGAGGGTTGGTGGAGTGGCTCAAGCACTAAGAGTGTTTGCTTAAGCAAGCCTGAGGCTGAGTTCAAATCCCACTGCTGCCAAAAAAAAGGAAATAAAATATTTGGAACTGTGTTTGGCACACAGGAAGCACCAAACACAGTTCCAAATATTCATTACTGTTGTCCCTCATTTGGATGAGAAGCTTCCTTGGGCTCAGAGGAAACAACTCTATTTTATTCCCTCCCCCCTCCCTAATAAACAAGTCTCTCCTTGCTTCTAACAGGGTGAAAAGATCCTTAAACTTGCTGAAATGTGTAGGAAATTTGAAACGGAAGAAGAGAAAGTGCTGCCTTTCTATTCATCAGTACTGACTCCCAAGGATCAGGAGGAGATTGAGGCACAAAGCCTGGAAGAGCTTTCCCAGCAGGAGGAGCTCGCAAAGGTAAGGGCTGGGGGATGCTGGGTGGTGGGCAGTATTTCTAATGGGTCCCATTGCACAGCTTCTCCCTCTAACTCAACTCCCAGGTGATAGAGGACTATATGGGGATGGAGAATTTCTGGAAAAGGTACAACAAAGTGAAATTGGAGCTACTGAGCCTCCAACACAGACGAACCCAGCTGCTAGAAATAAATGAGAAGCTGCGGGAGATGCTGAAGCAGTACTTGGATGGCATCTCAGTGAGTGATGAAGTGCTGAGCCAGCTCAATCCACTCTTCATAGTCAACCATAGAAGCAACTTACCCAAGCCTTTGTCTATAGCCCAGTCAGATGTACAACCTCCAACCACCTACAACATCATCGAAGCAGCTCATGTGATCTCCAATATTCTGTGATCCAAGGAGAAAATCCCTTTCCAACACCCAAGATTTTTTTTTTTTTTGAGACCTGAGTGCTTTGCTATTAAAAAACTTCCACAGTTTGCTAAGAGACTTACTGCTCCATGAAGCATAGCTCCTTAGCATCATGGCACCATGGAAGCCCAAACCTGTACCTTAACTCAGACAGCTGGTGGTGTGGCTCAAGTGGGAGAGTGTCTACCTACCAAGTACAAGGCCCTGAGTTCAAACTCCAGTGCAGAAAAAAAAAAAAAAAAAAGAGGTCCTATCAGCAGATTCAAGACTAGATCCTTGATGTAAGTTGTAAGTTAGGACAGCAAAAGAATTAGGGAAAAAGGTGATCCAAGGCTTCCACCACCCCGACTCCAGGCAAGATCCAACTCCCAAGTGACCTTTTTCTCAACCCTTCATCTCATTCCTACTTACAAAAGTGGCTTTAGAAAGTATGAGGTAAAGAATACAAAGAAGTTTTTTTTTAATTACTATTATTTATTATTTCTTTTTACTCTTGTTTCGTTTCTCTTCTTTGAGCTTCTTTTTGGAGACTTTGGGTCTGTTGGCCTTTTGGTATAGGTGATATCCAATGAGGCCCAGGAGGGCTGGCACCATAGCCATGCCTATCAGGGGTAAAATGCCCTTCACCAGCTTTTGCCAGTAGTTGGCTCGGATCAGTGCAATCAGCTCCACGTCATACTGTACCACTGCATCCGCTGGAGAGGCAGAGGAGAGGAAAAGGTTAGAATCTCTGTGCAGGACTCTGAATCTGAGAGAGTAGGCCACAGCAAAGCCAACTGGGAAGCTGACAGATTGAAATGTGGTGCTGAGTTCCCTTGAACAAGGGCAGAGTCTAGTGATAGTCATGTTGACCTCAACTACATGTGTGGCTTGGATTGAGTGACAGATCCCTGGCAGCACAGGATAACTGTAGATATGAAACATACAGGCTCCTCTCCATTTTTAAGGGAACATTTCTAAGTAAGAGAACACTCTAACTGTATGGAACCCATTTCCAAACAGCCACATAGATAGAATATTTGCAGGGCTGAAATTAATTGGATTTAAATGAAACATCTTTTAAATTCCATCACCCAATGAGCACACTCAGTGTGATTGTTAGAAAACATGAGTCTCAACATAACAGCTGGAGAGGAAGAAGGATGTGGCTTATGAAGTAAGGGAGAAGGTAAGTGGTGGGGAGAGGCGTAAACAGAAGCAAACAAAGCAGCAGTGGGAATGCACAGGTAACAGAGCTTTGCAAAAGGTTCTCCTTAGTCCTCTCCCCTTTTTTCAGGCTTCTAAAGTTGGAACTGGGGTAAGAATTATGTTCCCAATGCTCTATAGAATTAAGCACATTTTAGCTAAAATGACATATGTTACAAGGGCTGGGAATACACCTCAGTGACAGAGCACTTGCCTACCATATGCAAGGGGCTGGGCTTGATTCCCAGAACCACATACACACACAAACCAAAACCAATTGTTATAACCAAAAGCAAGCAAAAGATACATCTTGGGAAATCTTTTTCAGCCCTTCAGGAATAGATATCAGCAATGATGTATGAGGGCTTGTAAGGGTTGCTTTTTGTTTATTTTGTTTTGAATTACCTGACTGCTCTGATAGGAGTAGCACAGACCCATGTGGCTCAAGCAGGTACCTCTTCCCTAAAAAACCACCAGCTCCCTGAGATCAAGCCACGTAACCTGAACAGGTTATATCCATAATCTCCATTGATGATCAGAGCAGGCAAAAAGTGGCTCTGAAGAAGGAAGCTCCAGTCACTTTTATCATGTTCAGGAAACTTAATCTGGACCTTCTCAAGTGCCAAAGAGTGTAGCTCCTTGTAGCTCTCGGGGGCTGGGTATTTTGATGGTCAGGAGAAAAGCCTAGTCAAGATTACCTGGTATAGATGGTGGAAATCCCCGTTTTCCATAAGCCAAGTGAGAAGGAATGACTGCCCTTCGCTTCTCTCTGAGGGAAGGAATGTGAGTCATAGCTAGAGGTGGGGAAGGTGGGGAAGCAACCTAAGTGCATCTGAAGCTCCACCAGCAATCTCCTGGATATTTGCACCCAAAACATGAACTTTCCCAATTGAACACCTAAAGGGTTGACCAGCAAAGTGTCCATCTCCCCATATGCCTCAACAAAACCAGCAACCAGAAAGGCACTCAGGAGTCCCACTGAACTGTACCTTTCCAGCATAAAGTCAGGGCCCTCTATCTAAACCACATTTCCTGCCTCTTGGAGGAGCTGGGATGGCAGAGAAAGTCTCTACCCAGGCAAAAGGGGTACCCACGTCCACCCCTGACCAGATACTCACCCCACACACATGTCTAGAAGACTCTGCTCCAGACCTTGAGGGAGAAGACATAACTGAACTGGAAGATACCCACATTCCCAAATCACCCAAGAAGATCAAAGGCATCTTTTCAACTCTCAATTGAGCTTGCCCCACTTCTCAAATTCCTGGCTTCCAGGGGGCATTGGGCAAGAGGAATATTAAAGTGGGGTTTGGCCCTTAGGAGGCAGTTGGAAGATCCTTAGGGTCTTAGTCATTCTAGGGGGGGCATTTCCAGGGTATATTAGGGGTTGAACAGGCTAAGTTAAGAGGCAGAGTGAGAGACACAGGTCACATACCTGGAATCACCTGCTTTTGGCCAAGTTCTATAACCAGAGGATCTCTGGACAGAGAGGTGTCAATTATGCGTCCATCTATCAAACTGCCCTGGAGGGAGAGAGCATCAAGAGCTAACCCTGACCTCTCCCTCCCAGCAGGCGGGCAACACACACCTGAACCGCTGGGTAGTGCCAACCCCCTTACAGCTGCTGCCTAGCGTTCCCCTCCAGGGGAGAAAGGAACAGGAAGCCCCCAAAGGGCTAGCACTTCTAGGAGATCTCTCCACCCTTGGTTTCCCAGTGCCAGGGAGGAACTGGAGGAAAAGCAGGGAGGGGAGACAGGCAGGGAAGAGGAGCGCCCCTCCCCCTGCCACGTGCTTGAGGACCCCAGAGACCCGAGTTCTCCAGAACCGACTGCCACGTGTGCGAGCCAAAGCTGACGTGTTTCAGCAGGGCACCGCCCCCTCCCACGCCCCGCCCCGCCCCCCCCCCATGCCCCTCACCGTGTAATGTATGTGGAGCGTGTCTCCAAAGGCAGCGGGTTCCGCACACGGTTCTGGGGGCTCCACCTACAATCGTACTCCAGAGGTCACCTATGCGCTTTCGAAATTCCCATTCTCGCCCCCAAACCCAGCACCCCCCAATTCAGTTCCCGCACTTCCTCTTCTCCCCGCTCCCAGGTTCATTTAGACTCTTGTATTCCCTCAGGGAATATTCCTGCAGGGCAGGGTGGGCAGGGGACCTGGACTGTCTTCTCACCAGGGTCTCCACTTGTAGGGTCCGGACAGGACTTTCGGTTTCAGGCTCAGCCTCAGCCCAGCACACTGCCCCACTAAGCAGCAGCAGCAGCAGCCGGAGCGGCAGGAGTGAGGGGCGGAGGGTCATGACTGGACCGGGGCAAGGACCAGGGAACGAGGATAGGCTGCTCGGGTGACGGAGACTAGAACAGCGTTCCCCGGCACCCAGGCCAGATTGGACCGAGCGGGTGGAGATGAGCGAGCTCCTCCTCCTGCAGCCCTTCCTCCACCTAGTCCCCACCTCCTGGAGGGAGGAGGCCACCGGGAGCCCTCCCTATCCTCTGCGATCAGATTCTGACCTGTCCGTTAACCGTTCGGTCCCATAACAGGGGTTGGGCCACACAGCACCCCTTCTCCATTACCTGTTTGGGGCAGGTGTGTGTGTGTTAGAGGGGCATTAGTCTCTAATTCTCAAAACCACTCTGCAAGGCAGGCACAATTGCTCCCATTTTACAGCTAAGGAACAGGATGTTAAGTAACTTGCCCAAGGTTATCAAGCTAAGTGGTTAAAGAGACAGGATTCAAACCCAAGACTCCAAGCTGTTTGCCCTTTCACCTAAGATATGTCTCCTTCCACTATCTAGGCAGTGTCTGACAGGCCAACCCACCCCAGGAGGTATCAAGGGGGCATCCCTCTCATACCTGTATCCACTCAGGAATCTTTACAAGAGGTTAGATAACCAAAAGAGGACAGGCAGCTGTCCTATCCTCCTCCGTGGGAAGCTAACTGGAGAACACAAGGGGCTATTTTCCTGTAAGAATGAGGTGAATCCCTGATCTTTTCCTCTTAAAACTGTCATTTCCTTTCTACTTTCACCATCTTTTTAAAACGGCAGCACATACAACCCTCTTACATTTGTGCAAGGGCTTCAGCTTTCAAATGAAATTTCAAATTATTTTAGGTGATCCTACCAGTCCCCTCACTGACCACCACTCAGGCTTTGGTACCAGGATTCTGCTTAACGACTACCATCAAGCTCAGTCACCAAACTCTTGGACAGTTCTTGGCCTTTTGTCTTCTTAAGCAGCTCTCTGGCATTTGGTACCATCGATCTCTGAATGCCCTGGCAAGTTCTAGACACACTGCCTACTAGGAATCTCCACTTAGGCGTTTGGCCAGCAGCCGACTCAACACATACTCCTATTCCATCTGCAACCTGGCCTTCCCTCCCAATTTTTAAATTTTTTTAATTTTTATTTATTTTGGCAGTACTGGGGGTTGAATCGAGGGCCTAACACTTGCTAGGCAGTTGTTCTATCAATCCTTTTCTGATGGCGCTCTGCTATCAGTATTCAGTATTCTCTGTATCTTCTCTCATCTCTCACATCCAGCCAGATTCCTTGGGTTCTCCCTCCAGTCTCTACAGCCCTTCCTTTCCATTCTCATGATTACCACCCTAATTAAGTCCTTGCTCTCTTTCATTTGTTGTTGACTTCTTGTTTTCAGTGTTGAGGCTTGAACCCAGGGCCTTATACATGCTTTGCTCTAGAGATGGCAAGATCTGTGCATCTCACTATGTGCAAATTATATCTCAAATTTGTAGAAACTGAACAAACACCCACAAAACTGTATTTCCAAATCTCCATTTACACCGAACAGTGTCATCTAAGTTTTGGCTAGTAAGATATAAACAGAAGTGTTGGGAGTATTGCCTTGGACTTCCAAGAAGGTTCCTTGAAGGAAGCTAGCAGGAACTGTATCATCACATGCTTCTCTCCTTCCTCTCCCACCCTTCCTTCTTTCTGCTGTCTGAAATGCAAATGAGATAAATTATTTTCTAGCAGCCACATTAGACCATGAGGTGACCATGAAAATGGAAGCTACGTCCTAGGATGGTGAAACAATGGAGAGCCATGATACCAGCCCCTGGATTGCCTACCATCAGACATATTTTAACTGTGATAGAAATAAACTTTTATCACTTGTTTAAAAATACCACCTAAGGGAGAGAACAATGAAGGCAATGTAAATAATGTATAACTCTAATCAGAATTGTCACTATGAACCCCTCTGTATAATGACTATATCTTAATAAAAAATTATTTTTAAAAAATCCCACTTAAGCTAGCCACCTTTGGCTCACGCCTATAATTCTAGCTACTTAGGAGACTGAGATCAGGACTGGGTTCTGGCCAGCTGAAGCAGAGTTCATGAGACCCCCATATCCAATATAAGCAGAGCAAAATTGACTGGAAATGTGGCTCAAGTAATAAGAGTGCCTGCTTTTTAAGTTGAAAGCCCTGAGTTCAAACCCCAGTCCCATCAAAAATAAGCCCCATTCCCAGCCTCTCCCTACTTTAGGTCATTCTACACATTGCTGCTATCTATACCTGCACGTTACCTGTCATGTCACTAAAAGCTCACCATAGCTCCACATAGCCCAATGAATACAGATCTGACTCCCTGATATGTCAATTAGAAGCTTTATCACATATTAGCACTCACTGTGTGACTGGCTCACTGCTTTGAAAGGCTTTTCACTCATCCACATCAAGAAGATGTCATCTGTATAAATGAAGTGACACTTCTGAACCTGTAAATTAGCTTTGACAGCTGAAGTAGGCTGTATAAGTATTTTTGTGGACTGAAGTTTAAAAAAAATTTATTACATTATTGTTGTACTGGGGTACACTGTGACATTTACAAAAATGCTTACTATATACTTAGTCAAATACATCCCCTCCATCATTCTCCTGGTTTTTTGTTTGTTTTTTGCAGTACTGGGGCTTGAGCTCAGGGTCTTTACCTTGAACCACTCCACCAGCCCTGTTTTTGTAAAGGGTTTTTTGAGATAGAGTCTCTCAAACTATTTTCCCGGGCTAGCTTTGAACCTCGATCTTCCTCATCTCTGCCTCCTGAGTAGCTAGGAATACAGGTGTGAGCTGCACAGCTGAAATTTTTTGTAAATATACAGATACATTTACAATGTTATTTGAATGACTTCTTATAAATACTGTGACTCTATACTTGTCATTTTCTATATGTATATTAAAATTAATTTGCCAGAAAAAAAAAGCTTTTATCATACAGCCCTAATTTGCTTTTCTAAACTGGTCATTTATCCCATTAAACTGAAAGACTTGCTGGGCACCAGTGGCTCACACATGTAATCCTAGCTATTCAGGAGGCAGAGATCAGGATTGTGGTTTGAAGCCAGCCCAGGCAAACAGTTCAAGAGACCCTATCTTGAAAAAACCTCATCACAAAAAAGAGCTTGTGGAGTGGCTCAAGGTGTAGGCAATGAATTCAAATCCCAATGCAACAAAAATATATATATATATATAGGGAAGCCTTTCAGAGACAGGAGCCTCATGTTTCTCATTTCTATATCCTCATTGCTTCTGACACGTAATATTCACTAAATGTTTACAGAAGGCAGCAAATCTCCTACTCCTGGACTGTGGTCTGGCTTCAAAGGAAACTACATCAAGTGTTTCCACCTCTGTGCCCTAGTTCATGCTCTTCCTTTCACTTGCAAGTTCCCTAACAGATAAAGTTCCAAATACCTCCTCTGTAAAGTCCTGATTCTCTTAGGTAATAGTGGCTTCCCCTATTTGTGAACTTCAGGTATACATACACTCAGGGACATTATTCTGTTTTTCTTTGTGTTAAGTATACCCCACTCCTCCCTTCCCATCTCCCCCAAATAGTCAGCTCACTGATAGCAAGAATAATGTTGCGATTGTGCCTAGAGCCCCCTAGGTTCTAGCTGCACAATACCCTCCAAATAACAAATTCTACACAATGTGGTTTATTTGAAAAAGTAATTAAAGAGAAAACATTAAAAAGATCTATCTTACTGTGGAAAATCTCTAAAATATACATACATATATATATATACATATATATATACTCAAGTAAAAAATCAAGTAGCAGAATAATACATGTGATGTGAGCAAATATATATTTTAACCCCTTCTTAAATGTGTGTAGGTTCATTTAGAAAGAGAACTGGAAAGATGCATCCAAATACCTCACTGAGGATAGTTAGGTTTGGGGATGGGAGTGGGAAGAGTACAGGGGAACAAATTCCACATACTCTGTATATTTATATGTTTAGATCTTTTATGATAAAAATTACTTTGATTATAGGGCTGGGGGTGTAGCCCAGTGGTTAAGTGTTTGCCTACTATGCATGAGGCCCTGAGTTCGATCCCTAGTACCATAAAAAAAAAAGGGCACATAGTGCTTTCTCACTTGTAAAAATTACTTTGATTATAGAAATTTTAATTAAAATATTAAATGAACAAGATGTGTACCAATACAAGGGAATATGTAGGAGGTATTAAATGAGTTATACCAACAGAGGTAAAGAAAAAGCCCTGTTGTTAGAGAGATCAAAGGCAGCTTTATGGAGGAGGTAAAACAAGCTGCATACTTAGGTGGGATTTTTCTTTTTTTTTGGTGACACTGGGGTTTTGAACTCAGGGCCTCACTCTTGCTAGGCAGGCACTCTTAAAGCTTGAGCCACTCCACCAGCCTTTTGTGATGGGTTTTTTCGATATGGGGGTCTCAAGAACTATTTGCCTGGGGCTGGTTTCAAACAGCAATCCTCCTGATCTCTGCCTCCTGATTAGCTAGAATTATAGGCATGAGCCACCAGCACGTGGCTTAAAGTGGGATTTTTAAACAATGAGAAAGTGATTAAAGGCAAAGGGCCAGGCATTTAGGGAAAATAAATATACCAGATTGACTAAAGAAAGGGGAGAGAGAGACAGAGACAGGAAATTAAGGGCTGGTTGTGGAGAACCTTGAGTGTAAAACTAAGGAGTGGGAATACTTTGACTGTGTCTGAGCACAGGAGTGCCTATGCACACTGCACTAACATAGAAGTTGCCTAAAATAGTGTCACGAAGGTAGAAGGCTATCATTTAGATCAGGAACCTGAATGGGAAGGAGGCACGGGTGGAATAGGAGAGGGTAGTAGTGGGAAAGAAAAGGACAGAACTATTTCAGACAACAATGTCCACCTGCAGAGGGCAGCCCAGACCCAGGAGGGACCAGGGAACGAACTATTTCCTTGAATCAAGTTAGAAAGAACCTAAAAGAGAAAGGTGAGGTGGTTCTGGGAAAAGCAGCAGAACTGCCTCAACCCAGGCTAGAAGCACAACTTAATCAGAAAACAACTCCTAGAAAATACTTTACCCTCACAGGTGTCTTAGTTCAGTTAGCACATCATTTACTCAATTTATCCATTCATTCATCAAATTTGTGTGATCAGGTGTCAGCAGATCGTGGCACTGCTTCCTCCCTCCCCCCTTGGTGCTGGGGTTTGAACTACTCCTTTGTTTTATGGTACCAGAGATAGAATCCAGGACTTTGAAGCATGCTAAGCATATGACCCTCCTCTAGCTATGCTTACACACTCAATCATGTAAGAATGAAAGTCACCTCCCACCCCACTCTTCCCTTATGGCTGCTCTACCCAAGAAAGTATTATCCCATCAACGCAAGAGCTGGCAAAGGCAAAAACAGATACTCCCCTTCTCCCATCTATAATCTAAAGCCAAGAGAGTGCCCTTCTTTAAGTGCCCTTATTAATAAGTACCCTTATTATATTCAGAACTCAAAAAGAATCCCTATGGTTCAGGGCCCTAAGTTCAGTTCTCCAACCCTTTTAAGTCCTTGTACTCAACACTGTCCTAGGATGGCTCTCAACAATTTGTTTTTAGTTGTTGTTTTGTGCAGTGCTGGGATTAAATTTTGGATCTTCCATATACTAGGCAAATGCTCTGCCACTGAGCTACATCCCCAGCCTCTTCAACAATGTATGGGATGGAGAGGTGGAGGTGGGAGGTAGGGCACAGGTAAACAGGCTCATTTCCAAACCTCCTGCCTGGACTGAACTTACTACCAGACAGTTCTCAATGTGCCTGGCTTGTGGGATAGGGTGGTGGAATAAAGTCTGTTTATACACAACTGGTCTGCTCTGTGCTCAGAGAGCCAGAGTTCTGCCTTGAGTGTCCTCTCCACCCTACACGTCAGCTCAGAAGACACTTGGCTTCTGAACAAGAGCCCAGACACTCCTGTGAATCTCAAGGCCCAAGTGACACAAGCAAGCACTCACCTTCAGGTTTCAAAGCGAGCAGTCCTAAACCAGCGTCCTCACTTCCAGACCCTCACTCCCTTCACCATACTCAGGCTTCTACTTAATTTGTCCTAACCCTCTTTGCCTTTCTCAGGAACTCAGGGTCATTCTTACCCACACTGGCAATCAGTCAGGAAATCCAATTAGAAAGAAAAACCTGCAGAGGAAGGATCTAGATTGTCACTCCCCAGTGTCCAGCACACTACTCCATCTCTCTAGCTACTAGTTAGAAAATGACAGTACTGGACTCTGGCCCTCCCACCTCTACACTCTTCAAAACTGGAAAGAAGCTCCTTAGCATTATGACAGCCTTCCCAGGGGCACCACTCCCTACAGTAAGCAACAGGAAAGGGATATCCTCTGCACAGTTATTCCCCAACTCCCAATATCCTAATGTGCACTACAGATATCCCAAAAGAGTCCAGAGCATTCCAGAAATGGATTCCTAGAGGGGACAGGGGAGGAGGAGCTAAGAAAGGATAGATGGGATGAATTTTTTTTGTGTGTGTGGTACTGGGGCTTGAACTCAAAGCCTATACCTCAAGCCATTCCACCAACCCTTTTTTGTGAAAGGTTTTTCAAGATAGGGTCTCATGAACTATTTGCCTGGGCTGGCTTTGAACTGCAATTCTCCTGATCTCTGCCTCCTGAGTAGCCAGGATTACAGGCATGAGCCACTGGCACCCAGCAGATGGGGTGAATTTGATCAAAGCACATTATATACATATAGATAAGTATCACAATGAGCCCCTTTGTACCCCTTTATGCTCATAAAAGTTAAAAGAAATGGATCCCCACTTCCTCCCTCAGTATAGTGATCTGACCTATTTTTAATAAACACCTAAAAACACAGAAGGCACTAAATAAATACTTGTCAACTTTCTGCTATAACCAGTCTAGGCACTTGGACGGGCAGTGGTGAGTGCAGAAATCCCAAGAGCTTTCAGACTTTGTGCCTCAGTTCTAAGGAACTCATACACACTTGCACTTACTGATACCACCCTTACACTCTGGAATGAAGGGGAGAGTTTTGCCCTTCATCCCACCTGGGCCAACCCAAACCCCTCTATGCTCTCCAGACTTTTTGGAAACTCCTTTGTCTAGATTATCCTGAAATGTACCCTGAATCCAGGCCCTCTGTCAAGTGATGCTGAGGAGCTATTCATGTTCTGAAAGATTGGTTGCTATTCCTTCTAGAGCTGGGTGCTAGGCATTTTCTTATCAGGTTCAGTCTCATTTCATGTCTCCCAAAAGCTGGGAGTTGTAAGGAACTGCCACGAGAGGGCTCCCCTCCACCTCCTTCCTGGTATCCTTAACTGAGCAATGACGTACAAAAAGAACAGGAACACTTTTCTAAGTTTTTTAGGGGTCAAAGATCCCCCACTTGCCTGTCATTCAGTTAAAGTGTTCACCATTATTACTGTCTTATGAAAAAACTACAGAGCTGAAAGTTACCATTTATTAACACACAAATAAAGCATTCGGTAAAGATGCTTCTAAGTTATTAGCAACTTGTCACCAAGTAGGACCTTGGAGGAGCCTTGAATAAGAAAAAGTATCACCTGATTTTCAGATTAACTGGGTAATGCTCAAAACTAAAAGGCTAATACATGGATGTCTGGTTGGAGTAGTTTGAAGGTGACATGCAGGCAAGAAGTACTGGTTCTTAGCTGAGCCCATGCCTGTAATCCTAGCTACTCAGGAGGCAGAGATCAGAAGGCTCAAGGTTTGAGGCCAGCTGGGGCAAATAGTTCAAGAGACCCTATCTCAAAAATACCCAACACAAAAAAGGGCTGGCAGAGTGGTACCTACCTAGCAAGTGTGAGACCCTGAGTTCAAACCCTTGTACTGCCCCCTCCAAAAAAAGTACTAGTTCTTGAGGGTGATGACTTATTAGTAACAGGAGAGAGGCTGAAAAGGAAAACTGGCAAGGAAGGCATCAGAGATGTTAAGTAAATACAAATTATACACTTCACACAGGTACTTAGGGCTCTCAAATTTATTATATGCCTAAGTCCTGTCCTTTTCCTACCACAACAGGTTAAGAAAACCTCTGTATTCAAAGTTTAAGAAAGTAGTAAGAGGGACTGGCGGAGTAGCTCAAGGCGTAGAGAGCCTGCCTAGCAAGCGTGAGGCCCCGAGTTCAAACTTTCAAATCCCAGTACCACCAATTTAAAAAAAAAAAAAAAGAGATAGAGAGAGAAAGTAGTGAGTAGGGAGGCCTGCCCTGGCTCATCCAGCACCATCCCTTTTCTTTGCCTGCAGTCAGACAATAGCAAAGGGGAACAGAGCAGAGGTGGGAGAAGGTTGGGGGACTGGAGGCTTTATGGAACAGGTCTATTCCTTAAGATATTTGTACAGTCTCTGGATGAGGGTTGGCTGACCCATATGCCAGAAGTAAGTGTTATGCATGACCATCAGCTGCAAATGGGTCAAGTTCATTACAGTGCACAAATACTTACCGTTAATGCTTATTTACTGACAAAGTCCAGATCTAGATGAGTGAGGTGTCTCCAATCTATGTATGAGAGGGACTACATTCAAACTTGAAGCACCTGATGTATAGGAACGGGGAGCTCTGAGAATAGAGGAAGTATGGGTACTCCAAGTTCAGAGCCCTCCAATCACTGAAGTCCCTAACGTCTACCAACAGGTGGTAAATATGGCTAAGTTTGGGGCTAAGCATTTTAAAACTAAAACAGCAGAGTCACAGAGCCCTCATACTCTGGTGTCTGGCTCATTAGGACCCTCCCCTGGGGGAGATGAAAGGAAAACAGGAGGCAGTGTTCCTAATAGGCCTAAGGTTGTCTGTCACCTACTCTCTATCTATCCTTCAAGTAGGCCCTTTCTCACTCTGCCAAGAAAAGGAGCAGTCTGGAGAGGGACCAGAAACAGAACTACCTTCACCATTAACACTGCCACACAGTTGCTGCACATCAAGGATGAAGGTCTGCTACAAAGCTGCATAAAACAAGTTTAATTTCCAACCAGGGTCACAGTCATTTCGTTATCCCACATTTGGAGCAATGACAGAGAAGGTGAGTTATTAAACATATACAGTCTACATTCCAGAGGGGGGGAAGGGAAGAAGAGAAAAACCAGTTCAGAACTGCAGTTACCACTATAACACCACAAACAAACTTTGGAGGTTGGGGGAAGGGGAAGTTCCCAGGAAGAATATTGGAACAAGGAGAAAGCATAAAATTAAACCCACCTGAGGAAAGTAGGGAAGGGAGTGGGCAGAAATGGAATGAAACACCCAATCCCAAAAGAGCTGCTAGATGAATGGGAATTTAAAAAGGATACCCCTACCCAAGGGCCATGGGGCCAAAGATGCTACTAAGATCACTTACTACCTGCTGCTGGACATACCTGGAGCAGCACCAAAGGCAATCTGCAAGGCTGCTTCCTAATACCCATGGCCTCAGATTGGCCTCTGGAGCCCCAAAAAATAAGAGGGAGGGGGCAAGGCCTAAATGAGGAAAGCCTATTTGGAAATGGCATCTAACTAGAGAGGGTCAAATAGGGAACAAGGCAGGAAAAGAGGCAAAGTCCTCACCAACCACAAAGATACAGAGGAGCAGGGCATCATAAATTGGGGGGTGGGGGGTCAGGAAAACAAATAGTGAATGAATTGAGAAAGCAAAGGAGAGTTCAGAGAGAAAAATGCAACAGGGCAGGACAAAAAAAAAAATCCAGAAAAAGAGCAAAGAAAAAGTATGGAGGGATGTATCAGTGAAATCAGAGTAATGATCCATTTTAAAATGAAATAGAACCTCCAGCACCCCCCACACACACCACACACACCCACACATACCCACACAAAATACACAAAGGCCTAGAGAGCAGGACACCTGCGTACACCCACTGTATCTTGGGTAAGTAACTGGCACTGAGGGAGACACCCCTGGAACCTCTTTCATAGTTGAATCTGGGGTGGGGTTGGGAGTGCAGCCTGCTGTAGACAAAGGTGTCAGGAAGCCTGGCCCCATGGAGGGGAGTTCAGAACAGCCCTCTGGGAAGGGGCTCCTCAGCCATGCTATGGAGGAACCTGGGCCCTGACCTTAGCAGAAAGATTATAGGTAGCTGTCTTGGAGCTCAGAATGCAGCCAGCACACACAGGAGCCCACAGAATAGCCACAGTTTCACAGCAACTGCGGAAGTCAGAACCCAGGCCATGACCTTAGGGACAAGTGCCCCTGAAGATGCAGTAGCTTCTGAACGACTACATAATAACGGGGAGGATTCTGAAGACTACTACATCCCACCAGAGCCAACAACCACTGAGGGTCCTATTTCCTCCACTCATCCCCCAAACCCATTTATAGAAAGTGGGTGAGGAAGACCATACAACGCTGCTGAGGGGAAGGGGACAGCAAGGTTGGTGTGAGGGCCTGTAAACAACAGAAAAACTATTCTTTAGTTTGTCCTGGACTGGAAAGAAGAAAATCAGCGAATAGGAGGGTTGATATTGAGGTCTGCTATGTCACCCCCCTACTACATGGCTTCTCTTTAGATCACTCAGGCAGCCCTGATCAGGCCAACAGGACTACTAAGTGAGAAAATTTCTGACAAAGTACAAATGAAACCACTCAGCTCCCAAGATCAGGAGAAGGGGGAGAGGCACAGGAAGGCATACCTTACCTTCTCCTAATAACGAGGTCCTGAGGCCCTCCCCACCACACTGCACCTCATCCCTCCATGCCGTGGTACCAAACACTTATCAGTCTTGCTATCCCCACTGCCCACTCAAGGTCCCGAGGAACAGATCTAACGATGGTAGGGGAAAATCAGTTGGATACTGGGCCTATAGGAGTAGGTTCCTTTCTTCTCACACTTCAGGTCTTGGAGTGTGAGGAAGACACACATAAAAGCAGAGCAGCATGACATCTCCTTGGGAATAGACATCTAGAGATTAATGCCATCCCCTATCCTCAGAAGGATGGAGAAAGGGGTAGAAGATGGTGATGGAGAAGCCATCATCTGTCCTATCATCCAGGAATGCCTGCAGAGGAGAGGAATGAGTCCCAAACTGGGGCATTCCAGCCTGACTAAAACCCTCCCACCTTTATCTCACTAACACAGAAGGGGCAGATGACAGGCTCCAGTGGGCAGTGTCCTGGCTGCAAGCCCTGAGCTGCACGTCCCCCCTCCCCCTGGCCCCACATATATATCTCTCTATACATGTATATACAGGCGCACACATGCACGCACACACAGAGAGGCCCGTGCAATTTCCATGTAGAATAGGCAAAGGGTGTCGAAGGAAAGATGGAGTAGGACAGGGGCCTGGGGGGACAGGGAAGGGACTCAGATGCTAAGAGCACAGCAACCAGTGCCAAACGAAGCAAACGGAGAATACCCCACTCTACTTCCTGAAACCCAAAGAGTGGGGGGGAGGGGGAACCATCCCATGAAACCATAACAACCTCGTTTTTTTGTTTAAAATCCAGTAAATTGGAATGATTCACCATCAGGACAGCAACTAGGGACTAGTCATGTCAGTGGACAGGGCCAAGAGGTGAGGAAGGGAAGAAGGGGAGGCAAGGCTCTTTTTTGGGCATGCGGACATGATACCCAGGGCCCTAGCCACACTTGCAATGGGAAGAAACGGGTAGGACTGGGGTAGGGAGACAACAGGTATGTGAGGGGTGGGTGGGGCAATCAGGGCTTCCTGGCTCTCACTTCTTGTTTTTGAGCTGATTGGCCAGCCAGTCCAGGCCTTCATACAGCCCATCCCCACTGGTGGCACAGGTGGCTTGAATGTACCAGTTGCGGTGACGTAGGGAATGCAGGCCCAGCTTGTCTGTGATCTCAGCAGCATTCATAGCATTCGGCAGGTCCTGGAGTGTAAAGAAGATACATACAAAGGTACCTCAGGATCTTTCAAAGGCTTCTGGAACACTCAACTACCAAAGAGACATGTACCAGCACCTTCTTCTCTTCCTTCATCTTGGGAAATCCAGACCAAGATCTGAAGGAGTTACTTTGTATTAGTTATCCTAGAATACCAGACCCAACACACTAGATGGTAATTTCATTGAGAAGTTGGAAACCAAATATGGGGTTGGTAGGGAAAAGGGGTGATTCAGACAGGCCACAGAATCAAGTCTGTCTAACAGCAAGAGAGAGAGAGCAGTTCCACTAAAGTACACAAAAGGGAAAAAAAAAAAAACCCAAAAAACTGATGTATCTACCATACTAATTCCTGAGGACTAAAATGTTGCTAAATAAAGCTAGGTAGGGGACAAGAAGAAGGGCATAAAGAAATCAACTGCAGGCTGGGCGCCGGTGGTTTATGCTTATAATCTAGCTACTCAAGGAGACAGAGATCAGGAGGATCGTGGTTGAAGCCCTGCCTCGAAAAAAACCCTTCACAAAAAAGGGCTGGTGGAGTGGCTCAAGGTGTAGGCCATGAGTTCAAAAAGAAGAAATCAACTATTCATATTTCCTATACTTCCAAAATTGAGAGCAGCATCACAGGACTTCCCATACAATGAGCCCCAAAGCCCCATGATTTCCACAGCCAGGCTGCCCTCTCCCAAATTCAGGGATGGGGAGAAACCTCACTTGTTTGTTTGCAAAGACAAGGAGCACAGCATCCCGAAGCTCATCCTCTGCCAGCATCCTCATCAACTCTTCCCGGGCCTCATTTACTCGCTCCCGATCATTGCTGTCGACCACAAATATCAAGCCTGGGGAGGCAGAACATGGGCTGCACAGAGATGACAAATGTTCCCCTCCCCCATTACCAAAAGACAGCACCCCCCCCAAAATATTTGTTCCCTTTCCTCCTTTTCTTTATCCTCAGGAGCTGCAGTAGAGTAAGAGTTGGGTCCCATAACCAAGAAAGACAGCCACACTTTGCTCATACCCAACCACCCCATGCCACACTTGGGGACATTCATCTGCCATACCTTGGGTGTTCTGGAAGTAGTGTCTCCACAGGGGCCGGATCTTGTCCTGGCCACCTACGTCCCATACTGTGAAGCTGATATTCTTATACTCCACCGTCTCCACGTTAAATCCTTCGGGGGGTATGGAACAAAAACAAAACAAAACAGGCAATGGCCACTTGACCTCAAACACAACTTGTACACAATGCCCAATGAGTTTGGTCCTATTTCCTCCTAGCCTTGGTTACGACCAACCTAAGACTTCCCTCAGACCTGGTAATCCTTGACCTGATAGCTTGAAGACCATAAAGACAATCTAAAGAGAGAAGTCAAAGAGGATGAGAGGGTCCAGTCAGGAGGGTCACAGCTATTTGGGTAATGTGAGTCAACCTTCCCCACTTGTCCACTCAGACTTTGGCTCTCTATCCCACAAAGAAATGACTCAGCTTCAGTCCTGTACTTCAGACACCAGTTTGCCTAAGCAAAGACATGGGGGCTGAGAACAACGAAGACTGAGAAGTGAGCTACATCCTGGAGCCCTAAATACAGAACAAAATGAAAATGATGATCCAGAGTCTCCATCTATGAGGCAAATGTTCTCCTCCTATAGGGCAGGCCTTAACCAGGATCAACCACTGAAGATCTAAACCAAAACAATTCAGGCCTCTGGCAGGAACATCAAAGCACTTCACCTGCTTTACAAACAACACAAAAAAGGAACAAACTCTAGTGCCTAAGGGCAACTGTTGAGTGTCAGACTGCCAAAGTTCCTGCATCAGGGAGGGACAGGGTAGGTAGGCAAACGGCAGCTCCAGCATCTGCGAGCAACCTACCTAGTCATACTTTTCTGAGGCCCACAAAATGCATGGACCTCCCTGGGGAGAAGAAGCCAGGTGGGGTAATCTAGGATCAGGCCCCTTGCTCTGCCTCAGTCATCAGCATGAAAAGCCCAATACGGGCTGTGCCCTTACCAATGGTAGGGATGGTGGTGACGATCTCCCCCAGTTTCAGCTTGTATAGGATGGTGGTCTTTCCAGCAGCATCCAGGCCCACCATCAGGATACGCATCTCCTTCTTCCCAATCAGGCTCTTGAGAAGGTTTCCAAAGATATTGCCCATGATTCCAGCAACTGCTTTCTGAGGACAGTGGGGCCCAAGTGGGAGTCAGTGGCAGTCTGGTTTCAGCCTGTCTCTGGTAATGGAGAACTTGATTCTAGGCAAAGGAAATGCAAATTCATTACCGCCATTTGCTTGTCAGGACTTCATGTACATGGAATTTGCCGAAATCATAGCTGGAGTTCATTTATTACAAACTGAGAGCCTGAGGGGACTGTGAATACCAACTCCCACTCAGACACATCCTGAGTTTTTGGAAGCAGAGACAAAGCAGTGCTCCTTGTTCTGCCATTATCTACTGTGTGACTTAAGAAAGTTACTTCATTTTTCCAGATCGGCACCTGTAAACTGAGGGGTTTCAACTTGGTAATTTCTAAAATTCCTTCAGTTCTGACATTCTATACTACACCCCAAGGCATTGCAAGATCATTTATGCCCTTCCCTCCCCCAACCTTATCCTGAGACTTCTGGAAAGGGTGGGAGAGGAGGGAGTGGAATGAGGAGTGGCTCACTGACTCCTGAGAAGGTTCAGACTTGCCATGTTCCCAAGGTTTACGTTCTCTGTTCTAATCAAGAGACTCTGCTTCTTCCTTGTCTGTAATTCTGCAACTCCACCTTCCTTCCATACAAATATAAGTAAGAAATAAGTAGCATTCCTAAAAGAAGCTGATCATTTGTACAGTGAACTGCCTGCTGCTAAAGTTGCGCCCTTGTTCATACAACAGCATAGAAAAGCTGGGAGAAGGTTGGGTGAAGCTATCCTTTCTTCAGCAAGGAAGATCCTAGGCCCATTGTTGCCCACCCAGGGAGAGCTGTTCCACATGGTCACCAGCAACAAGGCAGTCCTCTCATTCCCTGCTTCTTCCCTAACCCCTTCAGCCTATTCTCCACATTGTAACCACAGTAATTTTAAAACAAAAATCTAGTCATGTAGCTTCTCTGTTCAATTGCTCTGCTAGCTTCATAGCTCCCTTTTAGTAAAATCCAAACTCCACGCCATGGCTTACAAGGTACTGCAAGATCTGCATTCCCCTGCTTCTCAACAGCTCTCTACTTTCCACTCTGCTTACTCTTCACCAATTCCCCAACACTTTCCTGCCTCAAAGCTTTTGTACTTTCTATTCCCTCTGCCTAGAATGTTCCTCTACTAAAAAAACCATCATGGATTACTCCCTCACTTCCTTCGATCTGTTCCAATGTCACCTATCAAACAAGCCTTCCCTAATGACCCATATAACACACACCACTCCCCCTTCATTATTTATCCTACTTTTCTTCGTAACTTTTATGATCGGCTGACACATTACATCATGGTTTCTGCTATCTTGTTTTACTCCTCCTACTATAATGTCAGCTCCTTAAGTGTTTCCTTCACTGCTGTGTCCCTAGTCCTAGAGCAGTGGCTACAGCAAAGGTAAACTACTCCTCACGTCTCTACTAACTTCACTGGCAGCTCACACAAATTAGATGCTTTATTCCTGGTATATAGTAGCACTTAACAAATAGCTGCTAGAAGGATGGGGGGGGGCAGCAAGAAACATTGTCAAGACACAAAAAACCTATCTGCTCATCCCAACCACTGCCTCCAACCAACAAAACAGTAGAGTCATTCATTCATTTCCTCTCCTCTCCCCTCTCTTCTCTATGGCACAGGACAGCCACAGAAATGCATTTTGAAACAATCGTGAAATAGGAATTTGGAACTACCAGTTCTCTGTGCCTGCAGGAAGCATGCGTCAGCAAGCAGCTTATTCAGCACTCACCATATGCCAGCTGCTGGCAATCTGTATAGTCTGGGAACCAAAGAAAGACACATACACACACCCCAAACCCAGAAGATGAAGAAATAGGTCAAGACAGAGTGCACTCAAACCCAAGAATGTGAAAGATGGATAGCAAAGACTCCTACTTACAAGCTAAAGCATGGGGGTTTGGTGGGAGTTTTAGTTGTTTTTCAAAAACTTCTTCAGGCTTGTTTGTTTTTTGTTGTGCTATGATTTTCCTACTCAAGTTTGCAACAAATTCCAGACTAGTGCAAAGAAGCCAGATCAACAGCCCCTGGAGACCAAAGTACTAGTTTGTCCAAAAAGCAGAAACAGTGAGTGTTTATGGAGTGTTTCATCTTCAAAGGCCTCTTCAAACATCTGTTAACGAGCCAGGCGTGGTACTCCCAGTAGGTTCCCTAGATGAGCCCTGCCCTGACCCACAGAGCTCACATCCCAAGGAGAGGACCTGGCTCCACCTTAGGGATTGACCTTAGCCAGGTTGCCCACTAGCCATCTTCCCTGCCCTTCCTGCCTTAACCCACCCAGGCAAACTCCTGAGGACCCCTGAGCCAGGAGAGGACACCTGTCCAGCTAGTAAGATTAGATCACTGGTTGGGCACCAGTGGCTCACACCTATAATCCTAGCTACTTGGGAGGCTGAGATTGGGAGGATCATGGTTCAAGGCCAGCCCAAGCAAAAAAGGTTTGCAAGACCCTATCTCAACAGAAAAAAGCTCATGCCTGTCTGTCATAAAATAGGATTGTGGCTCAGCCCAGCCTAGGCAAAAAGTGAAACCCTATCTACCAAATAACCAGAGCAAAAAGGGCTGGAGGCATGGCTCAAGCAGTAAAGCACCTGCCTAGTAAGCACAAAGCCCTAGACAGGCACTGTGGCTCATGTCTGTAATCCTAGCTATTTCAGGAGGCAGAGATCAGGAATGTCGGAGTTCAAAGCCAGCCCTGGGTAAACAGTTCAAGAGACCCTATCTTGAAAAAAATCCATCACAAAAATGGGCTGATGGACTGGCTCAAGGTGTAGGACCTGAGTTCAAACCCCAGTACCACAAAAAAAGATGGATTAGCTCACACCAACCCTGGCAATCTGTAATAGTCACACTTCTAGCTCTACAACTATCTCCTTCAGAAATGTACTTTTGGGGGTGGGGGAGTAGGACTGGGGTTTTGAACTAATGGTTTTGCACTTGCAGGTGATCTACTGCCTTGAGCTATACCTCCAGTCCATCTTCAAAAATGCAAACTTTCCCCAATTTATAGCATCCATCCTTTGCTGTCCTTCATGACCGGAACTAGTGTTGATTAAACAATTAAGAATGTTGAGTATCATGATCAGTAGTTGAAAAAGACAAAAGCAATCAATACCCCTTGCTCCAGAACATGTAAGCATTGTCCTTTGTTTTGATTCTCTCCTAAGCCATCATGCTAAAACTCTTGCTTCAAAAGCTGACCCTAGGGCTAGTGAGAGTGGCTCAAGTGATAGGGCGCCTGCCTAGCAAGCATGAAGTCCTGAATTCAAACCCCAGTACTACCAACAATAACAACAAAATGCTGACATCATATTACACTAATTCTATTTCCTGGCATGCCATATTAGCCACATTAAGGCTTCTGAATGTGAACCCACATCATTTTTCCTTCTTTCCTCCTTTCGTAAGTCTGTACCTTTATTGTCTCTCTCCAATTAAACTGTGTATTCTCCACTGGTAAAGACTATGTCCTTTATTTATTTTAGAGCTGTCTACATTGCCAGTGCCAAGACCACTACAGGTGTTCAATCAAGCATACTGGCTTATTCAAGCCTCATCTAGGATGTCCTTAAATCATTTCTTCTGTCCAGTAGTACCTGGTATATGTAATACACAGATGGTTGCTTAAATATGCTGATTCTCAGCCATTTTCCACACATAGCTGACCCCAGAATTAGTTTGGGAATGCCATAAAAGAATTAGAAGATTAGAACTGGTGAGATTTTCCTTTGTCGTCTAATACGCAATGGAGTTGATGAGTATCTGATTAAATATCTGGTAGCTACCATGTTTCTCAAGGCCCAGGTCTTGAAATTAATGGACACGATGACTCTCTTTAAGTATAATCAAGAGCTTGAGCATTCAAAAGGGGATGCTGGCTTTCTGTCTTGGCTTTCTCTGTCCGTGCCAATTATCAGACAGCATGCTGTTCTACCACTAGGATAGTAGCAGCTTTCAGCTTTGTACCACCAACACCAATCTTTGGCTATATAGCCAATTCTTTCACCAGAATGCATTCCTAGAAAATCTATAGGAAGCAGAATGTCAAAAAAACAAATAAACCCTGGACTATCTCCTGATGTTCCTTATAGCCTATAGTTACTCTCTTTCACCACAGACGGTACTCCAGTGTTCATAGGGCAAAATGCCAGGGATCCATTGGCTATTAGAAACCAGGAATAGTAAAACTGAGCATGGCACAAGATGAAAAATGGAACACTAGTAATATCTTTTCACAAAGAGGGTACCTCCACATTCTATTTTACAGTCAAAAATAATAGTTAAGAACTCCAAAACTGTGCATCAAATTGTATTGGTGCACTGTAGGACACTGGCTAATTTAAAGCTCATCTGAGGATGTCCTCACCCAAGGAACACTCACTACCCATTCTTCCATCACATGAGAGGCAGACTGTTGCTGTAGCTGACTGCTCAGCCATCCAGCTTTGTGTGTGCACGTTGCAGGAACATGATTAAGTCAATCCAGGCCATTCTGAAAGTCACAGCCCAGTCTGTCAGACATACTTCTCCCACATGATTGCAATGCCAGACTACGCTTGTGTCCCAAGACAACTCTGGGGGTACTCCTGACCTGGCACTATCCCCTCCTCTTCAGGGCCCAATGGAAGAAAGAACAGTCTCCCAAACCCTCTGCTGCCAGGCAGGGTGCAGTAAAAGCTGCTGTGTTTCCAGATAATTTTCAAATTAAGATATCACTAATAGAGAAGCCATTTTTAGCAGTGTTAACCAAAGGACTGATACAATTTAAGTAAACAAAGCAGGCTATGCCTGTGTTTAGTTTTCTTAGTGCAGCTGGCTTGTGACATCTTGTAAACTCAAGTTTTTGTCTCAAGAACACTGAAATCAGAACACAAGAACTCCCAGATGAGTATCTCAGCAACTCTTATTGTACTCAAAGATTTCCCAAAGTCAAAAAATCACTCCTGAGGTCAGATTCCATCCAAACATCAAACTTTTTTTTTGGCAGTACTGGGACTTGAACTCAGGGCCTACACCTTGAGCCACTCCACCAGCCCTTTTTTTTGAAGTTTTTTTTTTTAGAGATAAGGTCTCACAAACTATTTGCCCAGGCTGGCTTCAAACAGTGTGGCTTCAAACCACAATCCTCCTGGTCTCTGCTACCTGAGCAGCTAGGATAATAGGCACAAGCCACCAGGGCCCGGCCTCACATCAAACTTTTAAGAGTATACTGAACTAGGGATACAGAGAGGTAGATCATTTCTACCTTCATAAAACTTAGTCTAATGAGAAAGACAGACTAGTTAAGCAAAAGATTATAATAAACAGTGTGAGTGGGGCTGGAGATATGGTTCAGTGGTAGAGCACTTGCCTAACACACACAAGGCCTTGGACAAGGGTGAGGTAAGTATAGTATTATAGGTTAATACTATGCTTAAAAACTGAGGGGTAAAGCCAGGAATGCAGTACATGTTTGTAATCCCAGCTCTCAGGAAGCTGAGACAGGAGGATCAAAAGTTCAAGGCCAGACTAAGCTATAAAGAAAGATCCTACCAAAAAAAAAAAAAAAAAGACTGAGGGGTAAAGGACAATTCTCAAACATTATTTCCAAGTTACACCTGAACAGACCCCCAAAAGGAATAGGAAGTAATCAGACAATAAAGAAGGAATGAACAAGAGTAAACAGTGTGTAAATCCAATGCAAAACAGGGCTGGTGCAGTGACTCAAGTGGTATACCACCTGCTCAGCAAGTGTGAGGCCCTGAGTTCAAACCCCAGTGCTGCCAAAAAAAAAAAAAAAAAAAAACTCTAGTCACTGGGAGGCTGAGGCAGGAGGACTGTTGAATTCAAGGCCAGGCAGGGCTATACAATGAGACCATTTCAACAAACAAAAAACCTCTCACTTCCATCCAGCCTCTGGCAACCACTATTCAACTTTCTGCATACCTCATGGAAGTGGTATCATAAAATATTTGTCTAACTTATTTCAACTATCCGTCTTGCTAGTTTAATAAATCCTGTTTGATCCACATGTGTTTTCTACTTTTTGCAACTGATGCATCCTAACTGATGTATCTAAGGAGAAAGTGTTCAGTGGAATAGGAGAAAAGGCCAAAGGAAGAAACTTGTAACACATCATCATTTCAAGTACTAGGAAGAGGGCTGGAGGCATAGCTCAAGTGGTAGGGTGACTGCCTATCAAACATAAGACCCTGAATTAGTACCACCACCAAAAAAAAAAAAGTAGCTTAATGGCAAGAAAAGGAGGCCAGGAAAGACAGTAAGAAGCAACCAGAGACACAGAAGGGAAATCAAAAGGTTAAAACATCGTAGACACATATGATGAAGAACATTAAAACAATGGTGGGTAGGGCTAGAGATGTACTTCGGTGGTGATGGTAGAGCACTTGCCCAACATGCGTTATTGGGTTTGAGATGGAAGTGGAGTGGAGGAGGGTAAAAAGATGGGTCAAAGCCTATAGAAAGGACAAACTAAACAAACCCGAGAGGTACCTACTGCACTAAGCAATCAGTGACAACTTTGATATAAATTTAAATATATCTAAATAATACAAGGCCCCATTTAACACAAGTAGAGATGTTTATACTTACACTAGAGTTGTTGAACCAGTTTCCCTTATAGTTAGAAACAGAGATTTAAAAAAAAAAAAAAAAAAGCAAAGCAAAGTTGGCTGTTCTGAGAGCAGCGTTCAAGACTAAAAACAAAATTCTAGTGAAGCCTCCAGTACACCAAAACCTAAAGGTAGTTTCAGCTATCAAAGGAAAGATACGCAGGATCCTGAGCCCTCTGTCTGAGGAAGACCCAAACACCTGGGAAAGGCATAGCTTTTTCCATAGACAACCCTCAGCAAGTGAGTCAGGACAGCACACAAGTTCTATTTCAGAATACATGGCCAAGTCAGATAAAACAGTGACTAGATAAAAACTAGACTCGTTTTGTTTCTATGGAACACTGGCACTATCCTCTGACTGAAGCTTTTTTTTGTGTATGTGATACTGTGGCTTGAACTCAGAGCCTTCACCTTGAGCCACTTCACAAACCCTTTTTTATGAAGGATTTTTTTGAGATAGGGTCTCACGGAACTATGTGCCTGGGGTTGGCTTGGAACTATGATCATCCTAATCTTTGCCTCCTGAGTAGCTAGGACTACAGGCATGAGCCACCAGCACCTGGCTTGACCAAAGCTTTCAGCTTGCCCTAGTCTTAGAATCTGACCGGCTTATTACTGGTCCCTCTCCAAATATTCTATGGCTTCTCCTATCTCAATTCATGGCTATTTCCTAATTACAAAATTGCTGAAAATCTATCAGTTGCTCTGGGTCATTAGCCAAAAGCCTCAACAAACCTTTGTCCCCAATATGGTCCCATAATGCAGGTCATGATAGAGTTGACAGTGAACAGGTCAAACAGGAAGCTCGGTTTGGACGAGGCCAACTACTATAAACAGCCTAAGGATACAAAACACAGAAGAGCCAACTTTAGGGAATAAGAGCTATCTGTGATCCCTTAGCACCTCAAACATACTTCTAACCTAGGACTATACCACAATATGACTTATTCATGTTTGTTTTACTTTTCAAAGCAGAAACTTCCCAAAGTACTTCAAATGCAATACAGGCCAGCTGGAGATGCTGATCCCAACAGTCAATGAATGGCTGAGCAGTGGTTGGGATGGCTGGAGCCCTTGGACCAAGTCATCTCAGGTTTCAAGCAGCTGTGTCTATCTACCGCCATTTTCTGCATATGCCATGAAGGAAAAAGGCTAGAAAGCATTTTACTAGACTGTGAACTCTGTACCTGCAATGTTTCATATCCCCAGCATTCAGCACCACAACTGACCTTCAGCTAGTGACTGACTGATGTGTTTGCTGAGAATGATTCCACTGAGGATGGCAAAAACATCTGTAGGATCAGATAATGTTCTATAGATGACCCCCTGATCCACTGCCTGTATTTGACAAACTGGAAAAGTGGTTTCCAAGTCCTCAGAGCCCTAGGGTTCCTTAGATGGGATGCAGAAGCTGCCTAGAAAGACAGGTGACCACATGAGGGGCTCTAATTATGTTCCCTACTCTCCACCACCACCAGAGCAGCCCCACTGCCCGGATAAAAACATTTTAAGTATTAGACTTCAAGTAAGATTTTACTAAAGGTAAAGTTTGAATGTTTTATTAAAAGAAAACAATATAACAAAAAGCAAATCCTCTCCTAAATCTTAAATTCATGTTGAAGTTTAAACATTCATGTTTGACACTCCTATGCCTAAGTTAATAAAGGAAGGAATATGCCAGGCTCTCAGGCTCTCAGGCTCTCATCAGCAATGGGAGAGCGAAGCTGGCAGAGTGCTCAAAGGGTAGAGTGCTTGCCTAGCAAGCATGAGGCCAAGTTCAAACCCCAGTGCCATCGGGAAAAACAAAAACAAAAACAAAAAACAAACCTATGGTGAATGGGACAGTGAAAAGGTACCATAGGACTTGCCATGCTCAGTCATCTCACCTTTTTTCAGGAATAATGGTGGATCCCGAAATCTTGAGTCATTCTCTATCTGTGAGAATCCAAACGGTGTGATGGATTCTTTATAGAAGTCCATGACAAAACCCTAATACATTCACAGAATCCTTACCTTGTTCAATTCTTTTCCCAATTCATAGTACAAAGCCTTCACTTTTGTCGAGCACTTTCCAAATGTTCCCCATGTCTTTTTATTATCATAAAGCTTTATTAGGCTGGGTGTGGTGATGCACACCTATGGTCCCAACTTCTTAGGAGGTGGAAGCAGGAGGCTCTTTACATCAAGGGCAGCCTAAGCAGTTAAAAGACCCTATCTAAAAAAACAGGATAAAAACAAAAGGTCTGGTGGAACAGCTCAAGTGACAGAGCTAGAAAGTACTATATACCCAGTACTATAAAAAATTAAAATAAAGCTTTATTAGCATACCTACTGATATGTACCATAGATATTGGAGTGGAGTATGGTAGACGGAATTACAGATATCATAAACTCTGGGCCTTAACACAATATTGCGAAAAAGATACTCAGAGACAAACATTTTACAAAGATAACAACTAAACAAAAAGAACAGTCCATAAATTGAGGATCCTGATGTATTACTGACTGAGAACTAAAATAAGGGAACCCAGGAATCTAAATCTCTCAACTTAGGTCAATCAGGATGCTCAACCATTACATCAGAGTCATGCTGACTTTCTAAGTAAACACTATTCTTAAGTCCCCACATCCTCACTGTGTATCCAAGTTGACAGTTCAGGGCCCCTGCACTGCTCCAGCTTTACCTCCCACTCAGGCAGCAGGAGCTTCCTCTGAGGTTGATGCTGAAAAAAGACTTCACTGCTCCTAAACCTTCAGCTAACAGAGAAAGTCATGGTAACAATCTACATAGGCGCCTCAGGCGCCAAGTTGTTCTTTTATAAATCTCCCTGTTAAGGCAGCCCCACTGTTCATATTATAATTACTATTATGATAGATTATTAATAGTAGTTAAATTAACATTTACTTGGTGCTTAATATGTGCTCAGCAAACTACTAAGTGTTTTACATTTATTATCTCATTTAATTCTCATGACAACCCAGTTTGGTAGATACTATCATTACCCTCTTTACAAACAAAGAAAATGAAGCTAAAAGAAGACAAGTAATTTTTCCGAACTATGTAACCAGTAAATACCAGAGGCAGGATACAAACCTAATTTTATCTGATTCCAAGGCCCACTTTAATTACTACACCATTCTGCCTCTAAATATACCTACAACCAAAATGGTGAGGAGAACCAAACAAGGTGATATGTTTTGACTCTCAGGCCTCTTGGCATCCCTTTCTAAAGTTATATGGGGAAGCAGATTCCAGTTTCCCTCAGTTACATACTCAGCTTTTAACAAACCTGATTTTAAAGGAGTTCCTCCTGGTAACCAATAAATCCCATCTTCTATCCTCTATGACCCTTTGTGCACTTGAGGCTTCACTTATACTCATTCCAGCCTTTATTCTTGCATTCAGTGTAACAGCTACTACCATTCACAGGCACCAACTCTGTGCCAGGCACCACATTCACACATCAGCCCTTCTCCGTAGTCTCTAGGATCCCCTTTCACAGACAACACTTTAAAGGACTTAAGTCCGATGGAGAGACCGCTTTGTCCACCATAGGGAAGAAGGAAATCCAGAATTTCAGGTAAGTAATGACTTTGTGTCCTAGTAATATTTTCTTTCAGGGTCTTAGTTTCCCATTATCTATGCCAGTTGTGTGCCTCTTAGGAGAGTAATGAGAAGACAACTTCTTAATTATGAAGATCAAGAGTCTTTATACCCTTGCTCAGCTATCTCCAGTCATTTTCACTGACAGCCTAGCCATCTCACCTCCACTCCCACAACACACAAAATTTTTGAGACAGGGTTTTCCTATGTAGCCCAGGCTGACCTGGAATTTGTTATGTATCACAGGCTAGCCTTGAATTCTCAATCCTCCTGTCTCCACCTCCCAAGTGCTGAGATTACAGATGTGTACCACCAGGCCTGGACCTCCTTCCCTTCCCTTAAACTATAGTTCTAAACCTTATTGAGTTCTATACATTCACATCCTGTGCTCATCATGAGTGCCTACTCTGTGATAGGTACTGTAAAAGACAAAAGAGGTGATCCAATTCCTGCACTCAAAAAGCAAGCACACACATAAAAATTTTGACTATGCAGGATAGTAATACTACGCTAGGTGGCAGGGAGGTATGTGGATATATGACACATGGCAGCCTTTCCTGGCTGAATTCAAGGTCAATGATTCATTCTGTGAAAATTTAAACCTCAGTGGATCAAGCGTCTTTCTTGGAATGTGCTTTTACCGACAAGTTATTCGAATTCAGGTCCAGTGCTCATCCACTGACCACTCCCGGTCATAACAAGAGGAGACACTACCCTAACAACAGACCTAAGACAAAATGGCAGGAAAGACTCTCCATCTGACTGGAGACAGTGAAGGAGTATGTAGACACTAGATTCTATCCTGTTGCACTAACCCAAGCAATCAGACTCCTGCAGCACCCTCCTTCCGATAAAACTTTCATGCCATAGAACAGGGGTGACCCAATCAAGCAGCAGAGACAGGTTTTACATTACACTTCTCACTCACCCCGATGACCTCACTATTTCTTCTCACTCCTGACCACATACCACATTCCGGGCCAGCAGTAATACAACCCAAAAAGAAAGGAACTCCCCAAAAGGGCGAGTTACCACTTAGCTAATCAAGTGACCCGCTTTAACAGGGAACTTCACCTCCCCACTACCCCTCCTTCCTTCCGACTGGCGTTAAGCAACGGCTCCATTTTCTGTTCCGGGAATCCTGGTACTTCCTAAAGAAAGAAAGCGGATTGGAAGACACAAACTCAGGGCCAGTGACAAGATACTCCCTCTTCCTGCGAGACCGCCCCCGCAACGCCTGGGGGAGGAAGGCCCCACCTCTCTTCACCGAGCGAGCTCAGATCCCCTTCCCCCTTCTCCTGCCTCCTCACCACTCTCTTCCCCACCTGCTGCCCTCTTCCCAACCTGCCTTTCCCAAGACCCGAAAGCGCAACCTTCACCAGAATAGTGCGCTGGGGTGCCCCACTAGTATGCCCTGTTGTTAAACCCCAGTCCCCCTCCGCACCCCTGCCCCGTTATGGGGGGAGGGGTGTAAGCAAAGCAAGGCTTTTCTCCAGTCTCCTACAGCTAAGGCGGGGGAGGGAGAAAAAGACAGCAGCATTCCCTAGCTCTTTAACGGGAAAAAAAAAAAAAGATACAGACAGCCCCACCGCCCCAGCATCACCTCTCTCTGGACATTTTTACTCCCTCTCAACCCCAACCTATTGAAAGCCCACCTTCTGCAAGCAAGGAAAACCTAACTGCAGCCCAGGTCGGCCCCTTCTGCGCGGCAGAGAACAAATCCGTGTGCGCCCCCCACCCCCACCCCAGCTCCGCGTCCTTCAAATGCTGGGGCTGGCTGGCCCGATGCCCCCTCTCGGAGCTGTCGGATGGGAAGGACCACACCGCCCCATGCCTGGCAAAGCCAGGCGGAACTGAGGATGGGATGGCTGTCTCTTCAGCCCCCACCCTGACCGAGCCTCTTCTCTACGGGGACCCGCCTTCCCTCCCCAGCCCCTCACCTGTTCCAGCTCTTGGCTTAGCCGCCGCCTCCGCCCCCGCAGCTTCCGCCTGGCTTTCGCTCCGCTCCCTCCGGCTCCCCAAGCCTACTTCGGACTGCTCCACAGGCCCGCACCCCGGCTCCCTCCTTCCTTCCCTCCACCTAGCACCGGAAGCCGCGACGGCGACTGGAGCTGTGCGGCGAACCCCCACCCCCAGCCCGGGATACTTCCCACCTCCACGATCGCGCGAGAGCTGCGCGGAAGCCAGCGGCAGTTCTCGCGAGACCCATCACCATGGCAGCGGCTGCTGCAGAGGTAGCTGGCGCTGGAGCCCAAGTCTGAACGGGTGTGGGGGCTGGAGGCTGCTGCGGGCGGCGGAGGCTAGAGTCGGGAGTCGGAGAATGGGGATGAGGCAGTGGGGACTGAGGTGAGAATCCCTAACCTTAGGACCCTGTCTGGAATTTAAGGACTGTGGCCACCTACTAGCTGGGTTGGAGATTGAGGTTGGGCTAAGCGGTGCAGAGGATCGCACCAGCAGCGGAATGTGGGTGATTCTTAACTGTTGGCCTACCTTACCGGTCTTCATCTTTATTAATCTGGTCTAACTGCGCATACACACACACACACAAAGCCCCCGATGCACCATTGTTGCTGCTCACTATTCTTAAAACTAAGTTACTACAAAGTATGAATTCAGATCCTTTCTTGAGCTTTTTTGGTGGTGCAAGCTATAATCCCAGCGCTTGGGAGGTGGGGGCAGGAAGATGAGGAGTTCGAGGCCAATCCGGGCTACATAGCAACACCTTGTCTCTAAATAAATAAATATATTTTTCCCATAAGGAGAGGAGGAACAGTGTTGAACTAAAGGAAACACCAGGACTCTGGGCCAATTGGGATATTGGATCTTGAAAGACAAAGGTGTGGTCTAGCTAGATGAAATCTATCTAGATGAGTACGGATTTTAGTATCCCAAGGAAAAGTGAAGGACTTTGCACCATGTTTCTCACTTCCTACCCATCCCCACCTCCATCACACTCCTTTTTGCACCTGGTGGAGACATGCAAAACTGCTTTGGAACAATCGTAGCTATGATAGAAGCTGTGCTAGAAGGGCATTAGTATTGCTAAGAACAGAGGTTCGTATGTGCCATCTTTCCTCATTTACTGCAGTATAAGAGAATATATGACTCTTCTCTAAAGCTTGAGTCAAAATTGTCACTCTTATGAATTTGTTGCCTGTTTCTTAACTCTTTCCAAGAACAACTGGGCTGGTAGACATCCACACTACGTCGATGTCTGTTCTTTGCCTCATCAATCCCTGGTTTTTGCACTTACCAGATTACCTTTTTTTTTTTTGGCAGCACTGGGGTTTGAACTCAGGGCCTCATGCTTACAAGGCAGGCACTTTTACTGCTTGAGCCACTCTATCAGCCCTCAGATTCTTCCTCTTATTCCAGTCTTCCTTCTGTCTTATGTTAACCTGAAGAATAATGTGACCCTTGAATATTGAAACCAAGAGGATCCTAATTTAAGATGGTGAAGGCTAGGCATTGGTGGCTCACACCTGTAACCCTAGCTACTCAGGAGGCAGAGATCAGGAGGATCTTGGTTCAAAGCCAGCTCAGGGAAAAGCTTCACAAGACCCTATCTCAAAGATACTTCTCACAAAAAAGGGGGGGGGGAGCTGACAGAGTGGCTCAAGGTAAAGGCCCTGAGTTCAAGCCCCAGTACTGGTAAAAAAGATGATGAGGGATGAGATGGATAACAAGAACTTGTTTGTGACAAAGTGAATTACATCTGCTCAGGGTCACTGCTATTAAGGGCCTTTACCCTGCTAAACTGGGCTTTTTAAGACAAAAGACTGCAATATAATTACACACTCCTACAGTGGGCCCTGTAATACCTTCATGTGATTACCCTCTCCATTCCATTTGCTAGAAAATTTTAGTAATACTCAACAGGTTATATGCCCACACTGACTGCCAAAATTATGTTTTACAACCCCCACCCCCCATCCACTAGTCTCTCAACCACAGCAACATGCTTTGTAAGACTCTGACAAGGAAATGGAACTCAATGATGGATGTTCCTGCCCAAGACATCAGATCCTCTCAAGGTTATATGTTATATCCAAAGAGTGACAAAATGATGGAAATGGTGACAGCCTGATATGGTTAGCAGCAAATACCATGGTATTTGATTCAGAACAAGAGAAACTCCCAGCTCTTCTGTCCTTCACCCTCTGGAGTGTAGAGAAGAAAGTGTTGTAGCATCAAAAGGGATCACCCATGGTTCAAACAGGAGCAGAGCTAGGAGGAGTACTGTCTAGGTGGCAATTAGTTAGTGACCACCACATCCCAACTTTCCAGTCACTTGGTAAAGCTTAGAGGAAGAAGAACTCATCCAGAGCTAAAGGAGGCTCAAAGGCCTGACTTACAGTTTATCCGTCCGTCTTTTTCCCTCCCTCTGGCTGCCACTAGAGCCTAGTAAAAGCTGACATTGTAGCCACCAGGTCTGTGGGTTGTATATCCCACCCCATCACTGACCCCAGGCCTGGGCCTGAGCCCAGCTCATGTGCCATGAAATGTGGTGGGAGGGGGAGGAGGATGGCATTGGCCTTGCTGACAAAATCCATTTGGAATTTGTCAAGGTTGTGGTTTGGGGCTTAAGTTTGCCACAAACTGTGATGAAAGAAGAGGGAAAGCTAGAAAAGAAAGGGAGCCAAAGGGACTGCAGAGGAAAGAAACAGGAAAAAGTTGAATTATTCTTGCTGCAACTCCACTGGAGATTGTCCTTCCTCTTCCTCTTCCTGAATGCAAGAAATTCCTGTTCTGGATATTTATCATTATTCTCTCATATCCTATGCCCATTCTAACTGCATCCCCTTTCTGTTGCCCCTCCCACACACATACTAGTTTTGGCAAGTGCCTGAAGGATGGGATACCTTTTGGTACCACTAGATTTTCAAACTCAGAATTTTTAGTGCTCAAGTAGAAATTCAGGACATAAAATGTTGCCATAATTCAACACTTCTCAAAATGTCCTTGCTGCTCTGGTACTAATCTCATTTCAAATGATTTAAAGGTAATTTGGGTAGCAGATGCATCTATTACCTAGAGAATTGGAAAGAGCTATTTCTACATTTCTTGGTTGAGGTGATGACCTGTTAAGTAAGAGTCAGCATGTAGGGTTTGCAGGTGGCTCAATGGTAGAGTGCCTGCCTAGCAAGCGTAAGGCCCTGAGTTCAAATCCCAAAACCAAAAAAAAAAAAAGAGCATCTAGAAGTCCACAAAGTATGCAGTCATTTGTAAAGTTCTAAATGTGTGCTGCATATCCCTTTTTTACATTGTATCCTAGAAAGATAAGTTTACTTTCAAAGCTATTGGGCTAGGAATAGAGGTTGGAACAAAAGAAATTCTGTTCTCTCTGGGCTGGAGGCATGGCCTAGCAAATGTGTAGCCCTGAGTTCAAACTCCAGTACCAACAAAAAAAGAAAAAGGAAGGAAGGGGAATGGAAAGGGTAAAAGAAAGAAAAAGAAATTCTGTTCTCTCTGATCATCTCTTCAAAAATAAAGAACTCTGAAAAATAAGGAAGTTCAAAGTACAATTGAAACAATTCAATAGGAAAACATGCTAGATTTGCTGGTTTCCAGAGCAAAAACTCCCATTTTAGCTGAGTATGGTGGTACACACCTGTAATCCCAGCACCCAGGAGGGTGAGGCAGGAGGATCATGAGTTTGAGACAAACCGGGGCTGCATAGTGACTTCCAGGCCAGTCTGGGCTACATATTGAGACACTGCCTCACAAAACAAACAAAAACAAAACTCCCATTTTGAGCATAGGAATCCTTTTCATGTTTCCCATCAGACTTGCATCTACCTCAGTTCTCTGGTTTGGAGACAGAGAGAAAAGCACCTGCTCTTTTGGGTCCAAGTTCAGTACTGAGATACGTTTAAGGACTTAAAAACTCCAGATAAAATGTGACTTCATACTGTATAGGGTAGGAAGTTAGACCAGATCTGGTCCTGTGGCCCATTTTTACTGAACACAGTTTGCCCATTTATTTACATATGGCCTATGGCTGCTTTTGTTCCCCCTCCCTCCCACCCTGGCCTCCTATGGCTGCTTTTGGTCTGTAACAGCAGAGTTGAGTAATTATGGCAGAGTTGAGTAGTCAGACAAAAACCACCATATAGACAACCGAGTATATTTACCATTTAACTCTTTACAGAAAAAAAGAAAAATTGCTAAGCCTTCTTCAAGGCAATGGTCAAGGTGATATCTGGAGTTAAGGTGCTTAGAAAGTAAAGAAGGGGGGGCCTCCATTTGGATCTCTAACCCCTTCCACCTAAAAGTTCTGCCTTTTACAAATTAAAAGTTGCCAAGTAAGTCACTGAGGATCATTTCAAATCCTTTGTGGAACTCAGCAGAATATACATAAATGAAGTCTTTGCATATAGCAGTGTAGGAGAATTCACCTGGAAAATAAACCATGGATTGGTATACCAAGTGTGGCTAGATATATCACCCTCTGCATCCACCATTCCAGTAGCTTAATTTATTTCAGTTTCAAACAGGAACCAAGAACAAATCTCAGTACAATAAATTATCCATTCCCACCCCTCCTGCTGAAGAAGGAAAAAAGAGACTCCAAGAGTCTTAGGTAAAACCCTTCCTTTGAAGGGACCACTTTAACATGAATGGAAGGAGACCTCCTTCCCTAAGGGCTCTCTGAAGACTCAGGAGAGTTCCTCCAGCACTGTTGTTTCTCCAAGAGAAACCTCTACTACTACTGTCTCCCTTGGCCCCACATGTGGGGGTCCAAGTTGCAGTAGAGGAGTTTGGGAACTGAAAGTAGGAGGGAGTGGTCTCTTTCTAGATATAGGTCTTAATGGCTCCACATAATGCCAGGATTTATCCCTCAAGGAAGAGGACTGGTCAAACTATAGGGGCTCTCCATCCAAAAGGAGTATGAGGGGGTTAAAGGGGAGGACCTGGGATTGAAAAGAGAGGAGCAATACAGTGCATTTCATCATATTCCCCGCAGGTATTTAAGGAACAGAGGCAGTGACAGCTTCCCCCAGAGGCCCTCTAACTGTGGGGATAAGGCTGTACATCACAGACCCCACTTGACCATCCTCACCCCCAAAGCTGTTTCCAGGTAGACATGTTCAGGGGGTCAAGATTGACCCTGGACAGAAATCGGAGCAACAGGCTGAAAAGGTGCCCCTCTCACACAGTGCCCTTCCCCAGCCCCAAGGTGAGGCTGACCCTCACTTGCAAACATTGACCCATTCTGTGACCTTGCACTCATCACACAACACATAGCAGCACCAGTGGAAGCGACAATGGCATCGCTCAACTCGGGTCTGCCGGAGCACGTTGTGCCCACGCCCACAGCACAGGCTGCCACAGCCATCCAATAGGCGGCTGGTCTTGTTGCAGGCCCGGCCCCTTGTGCCAGGCGAGCCCACAGCGGGGTCTCGCTCACAGAAGTCGGGTGACTTCTCAAAGTAGACTAGCTCTCCTGAGAGGCGACGGGGACGCAGGCGGGGTTGGAAGGCTCCCGAATTGCGGTTGTGGGTATCGATGAAGATGGCTCTGCCCAGTCGCTCCCTCAACGCTGCCCCTACAGCACGGAACTCTGGGGCCGCCCTCCAGCATGTCTTGAATTGGCAGCTGCCTGATGTACCATGGCATTTGCATTTCCGCTTCAGGTTTTCGGTTACCACCTACATCATCAGAGGGGAAAGAGTTGAAGGGCAGGACAGCAAATGGATAGAGCCCAGGGACACGGGAGAGGAAGAGGAACAGAGATTACAGGGAGGGACAAATGGAGTATCAGAAGAAAAAAGGCAACTCCCTCATTTTATGATTAGAGACTGCATCCAGAGTAGCACGATTTGCCCGTCTTTGATCACTAGCTGATAACAGAGCCAGAACTCAACTTCAGTTGTCCTGATTCCCAGTCCAGTGCTCTTTCTAAAATAAGCACTGATAAAATGGGGAGTATGACCCAGAGCACCCCTAAAGTCCATAGGGAAGGCAGTTGTAATAACAGCTACCATGTAATGAGCCAAGGCCTAGGCACTATATAGGGGGCACTATTTGGTAGTTTGACCTTACCAATGTTGTGAAGTAGGATATCATCAGGCACTTACTACAGATGCAAAACCTAGGCTGAGTGACTTGCTGATGGCAAGTGATGATCACCCATTTTACCTCATCCTATTACTCTCCTGGGACTCTCAGACTCTAGCCACTCCTCAAAATAGAAACCCAAGTGTAGTGGTTCATGCCTGTAATGCCAGCACTTGAGAGGCTAAGGCAGGAGGACAGCCTGGGCCAAATAGCAAGACCCTGTCTCAAGGAAAAAAAAAAAAGTCAGAGAGACCCAGGACAAGATGCACATACATACCTGGCGCCCCACCCTGTTGTTGTGGATTCGCATTCGTGCCTGGATGTCCCGAGGAGCTTCCCTGGAATCCAAGAAGTCCCGAGAGAACTTCTCTCCAAAGTCCATGTCATGGTTACAACCACCCCATTCCCATGTGTCCTGGGGGCCAGGGCTGGGACTTGAGCCAGGGACAGGGCTGGGCAGAGAGTGGGGGAAACTCTTGCCCCGGGATAGTGCCTGCAGCTGCAGTAACTTGGCCCTCAGCCGATCCTGCTCACCACTGCCCTTCCAGCTGCAGCCACAGCTCACCAGCTTGCCCAGGCTGCAAGCAGTGGCAACCGCGTGCATGACCCCAGCCGCCAGCATAGAGAAGGAGAAAGCACTCTCCCGGAAACCTGGGGGTGAGAACAGTGTGATGGTGTAGGTAAGGTTGACAGACAGAACTGGGAGGCAGCCACCCTCCATGCCAGAAATTCCTAACTGATCTTGACTATGCCACTTATTAGCCATTTGGGAGAAAAGTCATAGGACAAGAAAGGGCCTCAGTTTCCTCATCTATAAAGGGACATCCATGGGTCAGGATGATCTCTGAGGTCTATCCTCACTCTGTAAAGTCTGTGGTTTTCAGGTGTGGATGGCAGAGCCAGCCCAGAAGGAGAGACCCTTGGAGGTGAGAGATGACTAAGAGAGTCCCAAGGACTTTGAAGATGTGTTCAAGGAGTTCTACATCTGAAAGTCTTAGAAATTCCCCAGCCCTGCAGGGAGCGCTTGAGTGGGGTGGGAGGCAGAAGACTTTTGGGTACTTTTTTTTTTTCCTTCAGAGTTATTAAAATCAGTATTTTAACCAACCTATTCTGTACCACCCAAGCACCCCCAACACACTGGAGCTGTAGGGCTGTCCTTCCCCTTCCCAGGTTCTAGTTTTATATTTGCCCTTCAAGACTGCCCTTTATGTTTACCCTAACCTGCTATTACCCTATAAAACACTGGTAGGAGGAGAGAGGCAGAGGGGTGATTTTCCCTAAGGCCCTCTTAAAAGGTTGGCCTCTTTGTTATGTTTTGGGGGGTCACAGAGGCACAGGATGATAAGCTTTTCCCAGGCTTAGATAGACATGCTCACCATTTGGATGTCAAAGCCTTCCCCTACACAGACCTGTACAAAAAGAAGGGGTCCCTCACTTCATTTTAAGCAGGGACTCTCTGGAGCCCTGATAAGATGAAAGACAGCACCTCCTTTGAGCCCAGGCCTTTCTTACCCCATGATCCAGGACTCCTGGGCCAGCCTTGTGATCCCCCAGCCCTTCAAGGGTGAAGCTGTTTGAACAAGTCTTGGGAATTCCCCTGCAGATGGCAGCTGCCTATTAACCCCATAGTCCCCAAAACACTGCCCCCACCCCTGGATTGAACCCCCATGGATCTTTACTCCCGCAGGAGTGAACTCCAGAAGGGCATGAGAGACTGTACAGCTTCCCAGACCATTCCTTCCAGACCAGGCCAGCAGTGACCTGTTCTCCATCCCTCTAGCCATACCCCACCTGCTCAGGTGAGCGACACCTGGGGCCCCCCCACAGCACAGAGGAGGGGGCTGCTCCCCAGCTTCAAAGCCATCAGGGTCTTTGTTCCCAGCTTTGGCTCCTGGGAACCCCAGCAATTAGGGGAGCAGGTTTAACCCTTAAACGGTTGGGGGCGTCACCCCACCCCCGCTGAGACTCTGGGGACACCGGCCTGGGCTTGTCCCAGTAGAAAGGAAGGAGAAAGAAAAACGGGGGAGACGAGAGGGGCGTTTGAAGCTTCCAGGGCTGAGGGTATCTCTTGTTCACAGGTGCAACCCAAATAGAGCTGGGTTGAGACACGAAAGGGGGGGCTAGCATAGGGGAGCAGGAACCCAGCTGCCTTGCCAGCAGCGCGCAGGTGGAAGTCAGGCGCGGAGAGGCCCAGACTGGTGCCCAAACCCGGCTCAGCGCGGCTCGGCTCCCGGGGGGAAATTCCCGAAAAGGCCCCTCCCGGGAGCCATGAACCGGTCCTTTCCCGCCTCCGCGCGCCTCGACGTGCCTCCCATCCCCTAGCCTCGGCGGCAGCACAGACCCACCCCGTCAGGCTCACCGCGTTTGAGGATGGCGCTGTGGTGCGGCAGGCGGCCGCCGCCCTCGAGCGCCGAGCAGTTCCAGCGCTGGTCGCGCAGCTGGTACTGACACTCGTGGACAGCGATGTGCAGACCCTGAAGCGCCGACGCCGTCACGTCGGGGCTGCGCAGGCACAGGCCTAGCTGCCGCTTGCTCAGCCCCGACAGCGTCAAGCACACTGTGTTGGCGGTCAGCGGTGGCTCACCGGGCAGCTTCAGGCCCAGAATCTCATTGCTTAGAGCCCTGGGAACGGAGAAATCTACTGGGGTCTGTGGTCCAGGACTCACACTCCCTCCAACTCCCCCCATCCCCGGGAGAACTGCTCACCGACTGCACAAGGCCAAGAACAGGAGACCCGCGAGGCCCGAGGGCGGAGGCCGCAGCCGGGGCTCCTCCAGCATGTCGAAGCCCGGAGGCTCCGGTGGGCAGATCGATCAGCGCCTAAGGAACCAGGAGATTTGATGCTGGCTTTGGAATAGGGTGTTTCCTTGGAACCAAAGGATGCCCTACCTCGGTCTTCTGGTTTTCTAAGCTACCGGTGCCGCCCCACTGACCTTTCTCACCCCTCCCCAAACAAACCAGTGAGAACCACCCCCTTGATTCCCTGAATCCTGGATCCCTTAAAGAAGAAGGGGCCAAGCCTCAGAGTTGGGAACTCTGGGGAGCGCCCCTGGAGCCTTGCCCAATTAGACACAGTGCCCGACACAAGGACAACACATACTCATAGGCAAACTCAGACATACAGTTTGACACTCAAACACTGGCTCCAGGACCTCACCCACTGTTCCCTCTTCCAGGGCCCCATGACTGACTTCCCCGCCCTTACAGGGCTAGGGGGAAGAGATTGGGAGGGGGTTCCCCACCACATGGAGGGGGTGTCGCCTCCAGGTGCTGGCAATGACAGGCAAGCTATGTCAGAAGGGTCCAAGACCAGGATCCCCACCTCACTCTATCCCCTCCCTACCCAGCAGGGAAAAAGGAGAGGCTCCAGGTGTGGCAAAGGCCAGGAGAGAAACCTGGTGCCCTACTGCAAGGGATGTTGTCAGAAACTGAGTCCTCTTTCCTGTCTCCTGTCTCCCTCACCCCCTTTCCTAATACGCGCTTCCCTCCTCAGCGGGCCACCCGTCTGGTCCCCACGGTTCTCAGCCTTGGTCCCCACCCCTCTGCTCTGGCGTTCACTGCTCTCTAAATCTGGAGGCACTCCTTTATTCTCTGTGCCTTTATCTCTAGCAATATCTCTGGCTCTCTCTGTGTGCCTGTGCTTTTGTGGGTGGATGCGTGTGTCTGTCTGTCTGACTACCCGCGTGCTGTCTGATCCTGGTGTGCGCCTCTCAGCCCTCCCTGCTTTCCCGGTTTCCATTACCTCCAGTGATTCGGGTGCAGGGTCCGGGCGCCTGGGCTCCACTTGGGGCTTAAACCGTAGGGAGATTGTATCGGGTTCTGCCCCCTCGGCAGAGCCGCATTCTTCCAGGGCCGGGCCACTCCTCTTCTCCGCTTCCCCAGCGCCGCCGCGGCCGCCGGGAAGAAGGGAGGGAGGAAGGGAGGGAGTGATCGAGAGAGCGAGCTAACGAGAGAGCAAGAAAAGCACTGGGGGCTCTGGCTCTGCTCGTGCCTAACTCACGGGCGGCTCTGCGGCCCCTCCCCGAGCCCGGGGCATCCCCACCCCACCCCCCCCGCACCCCCCGCCTTGACCAGGGGAACGCAGCCGCTCCCCCCACCCCAGCATGCGCGTACACACACGCACACACACCCTCTCCCCCGACGCCAGGGTTCGGGTTTGGCTCCACTGAAGTAGGAGGTGGCCGGAGTTCCTCTCACCTGCTCTGGTGTCGCCAAGGCTGTAGGCAGGGACCCAGGTTAAAGAGCCAGAACCTGGCCCAAATGGCAATATCTTTCATCATTTCTCTTTGCCTCAGTTTCTCCACAGAGAGCAGGGTGGCTGGAAAGCTCCTTTAATAAGATGAGGACTGAGCTGGACTATCTTCTGGTTTCAGGCGTTGGACAGTCGCTTAAAGAGTCCACACCGTGAGCGCACCGCAGGTCACTTGGAGCCTGCCGGAGAGGCACTCGACTGTGCGGCTTGGCTCCCGCCCACCTCCGAGCCCAATGCCTGCCCCTTGGGAGGGGTCAGCTTTGGCCTTGAAATTTGGCCCTAGCCAAGAGGCTCAGGTAGTCCTAAAGATCTGCAGTCGGTACTTCGCTTCCTTTCCTGGTAGGCTTCCCATAGAGATTTCCTATCCTTCCCGAGATTCCTGGGTATGCACTTCGGTGGCCTGGATTCCCGCTCCAGCCTCGTCGACTTCCTTCACATGGGCTGAAAAGTGCCTCAGGGTCCCAAATTGAGCCTAGCTCGAAGGCAGCCTGGAAAGAATCTGGTCTTGGGGTGCACAGGCGGAGGCAAAAATGCCTTAGGGAGCTCCAGCGGCAGCGAAGGGGTTAGGCGCCACCGCACTCTCGCCTGACTCACCCTCGTAGCTCTAACCACTGCGGACTATTTTTGCCAGAGAGGGGCCCCAGGCTTCCCAACCGCCCCCAGCCCCTGCCAGACCGCAGCCTAAAGCACGACTTGCCCCGCGCACCCAAGGCGCATTGACTCAGAGACCACCCCCCACCCTGTAAGCAGAAGCTGTGGGTTCCAGGTTGATACACACAGCCACAATCACCTCTTCCTTAGCATCCCTGTTGAACAGCCAGCCTCCAGTCTGTGCTGCGGCAGGTTCTGCCTTGTGCTGAAGAGAGCGCCACCGGCTATGGGGCAGAGTAGTTTTCTGAGAGGACATTGGGGATTTAGGTCTGTTAGGATTTTTCCTGACCATATTTATGTGCCATACCCTGAACTGGATGGAGAGTTGAAGTGCCACATAGTCCATGACCTGGACAGCCTGAATCACAGAGGTTGCTTTTCTCCACTTAATGGAGTGGGGAACACCAGACTCTCCTTCCCTTTTGGAGGACAAGGGCCAAACCCTGCGTGTGTGTGTGTGTGTGTGTGTGTGTGTGTTGGCAGTACTGGGGCTTGAACTCAGTGCCTACACCTTAAGCCACTCCACCAGCCGTTTTTTTGTGATGGGTTTTTCCGAGATACTATCTGGAGAACTATTTCCCCAAGCTGCCTTTGAACTATGATCCTCCTGATCTCTGCCTTCTGAGTAGGTAGGATTACAGGCATGAGCTGGCACCTAGCCCATGTATGGCTTTTAAGGCCACCAGAATCTGCAAGCCCTATCTCAGTAGCTTCCATCCTTACACCTTACACTGGATTCAGTGATCCCCACAAGTGTCCTAGTCCTTTTTCCTATGTCAACCTATGACTCCACCGAGGTCCCTGGAAGAGGTGGAGGAGGTGTTCTATTTCCTCTTTTTCCATCGGGACCTCACTGACATTTCTATTCTCTATAAATGTGTGATCTTCCTCACGTTTTGGATTCTGTTTTGACTTGTTTTTATTATTTATTTATTTATATCCTTGCTGGGCTCCTGCATACAGTCAGGTGTCAAGAAGGGGCTGTGGTCAGCAGTACTGCCATAGGTTTCAATTTCTCAGTGACCAGGGGGTTCCCCAGGCTGAACTGTTCCAAATCCAAGGAACATACTTCTGATCCTCTCTCTGCTGAAGTCTAGCTCTGGGATAGGAGGCCACAGGCAGACTGACTGGGTGGCCTGAGCTGGCCCACAGTGCCCTCAGCCCGACCGGCTGGCCTGAGCACTGACCCGCAGGCAGCTAGAGGGCGGTGGGACAGGCGGGGCCTGGAGAGGGCTGCGGGTGCACACCCATTGCCTAATACCCCAAGCACGCGGCCAGCTCCAGGAAAGAGGTGGGGCGGGAACCAGAGAGACCTTGACAAGGGTTGGGACCATGACAGGAGGGGGAAAGAAGGGGGCTGCCACCACTGCAGAGAGGGAGTGGGAGCAAGCTGGCCTCTTTTCCTCTGGATGAGAAAAGTAGGGGGCTGCTCTTTCCATCATAGGAGTGGAGCGTGTAGCAAGGGCCATACATGAAGAACACTAGGGCCCTGGAGGGCGGGGGTCAAAGAAAAGAGTGGGGGCCCCTGGAGATTGGGGGGATCAAGCAACTGAGGCGGTGGCTAAAGCCAGGCCAGCCTCAGGAACCTCCTCCTCCTTCTCCCCCCCCCCATGTTTGCCTTGGCCCGGGGTCTTGGGTGACTCATCTGTTGCTAAGCCGCTGATAGGGGCGGCCAGGCCTGGGGAACCCAAATTATAGGCCCGGGAGGGATGGATGCGCCTGTGGCGGTGAGCTCAGCAGTGCTGCCTACCCTCCACCTCACATGCCTTCTGCTGCAGTATCGAAGGCCACCACCCGGAGGCACCAGAGGGATTGCAGCCAGCCTGTGCTGGACACTCAGGAAGCTCCCACATTCATCAGTTGGCTCCAACAAATCCCTGGATTCCCCTAGGCAGAATTTTACCCTCTTGTCTGCTCAGGGCTGATACCTGCTGGCACCTCAAAGAAACTAGGCTCTTTTGTCCACAAACTTTCAATCTTTTCCCCTGCTCCCTTCTCTGATCTCTTTCTCCCCAATATCTCTTCCCATCCCTATTCCAGGGAGTTGGTTTGCTACTGATTTCCTATTTCAAGCCTTTGAAGTTATCTGTGCTCACAACAAAGAGCGGAGTATAGTATTACACACCTGTAATTCCAGCACTTGGGAGGCTGAGGCAGGAAGATTATAAATTTGAGGCAAGCCTGGGTTAGGAGACCCTTTTTCAAAAACAAACAAAATGGCACAGAGAAAAATAAAGCCAGGTAAAGGAGATGGGGGGTGGGATTCTATTTTATAGGGGGGAGGGAACATAGGCATGATGATATCTGAGGAAGGGTGTTCCCAAAGACACAAAAGCAGGCACATAGACCCTGAAAAAGGAGCATGCCTGATACTTTCAAGGCATTAGCAAATGTCACTACAAGGGAGCCTATGAGAAAGGTTGTCCGGTAATGAAGCCAAAGACTAGGAAGAAACAGGGTCAGATCATAGTAGGCCTTATAAACCACTGTAAAGATTTTGACTTTTGAGTAAGATGGGGATTCATTAGAAAAATTGGAGCAGGGGAATGAAATGATCCGACTTTCTTTTTAGAAAGGATGGCCCTGTCTGTTGTGTGGAAAACAGACTGTGGGGGACAAGGTCAGAAGTAAGGAGAGCTGTCAGGAGCCTGCTCCAGGAAGGCAGGCAAGAGGCACTGGCTCCTGCCAGTGTAAGCAACAGAGTGATGAGTATGGATCAGGTTCTGCATTAGTTTAAAGACTGAGGCAGGGAGAGAGAAGAAGAAGGAGAAGGAGGAGGAAGAATGAAGAAGAAGAAGAAGGAGAAGAAGAAGAAGAAGAAGAAGAAGAAGAAGAAGAAGAAGAAGAAGAAGAAGAAGAAGAAGAAGAAGAAAAAGGGAGAAAAGAAAGAAAGAAAGAAAGAAGGAGGGAAAACTGGCACCTGTGGTTCATAACTGTAATCCTAGCTATTCAGGAGGCAGAGATCAGGAGGATCGCCGTTCAAGACCAGCCCCAGGCAAATAGTTCATGAGGCCCTGTATCAACATACACTGTACAATGTATTAGTCAAGGATAATTCCAAGATTTTTGTCCTTAAACAACTGAAAGAACAGATTTGCCTTTACTGAGATAGAAATGACTGAAGAATGCCAGGTAGTAGTGGCTCACATTTGTAATCCTCTCTACTAGGGAGGATGGAGGTCCAAGGCCAGCCTGGACAAATAGTCTGCAAGACCCCATCTCCAAAATAACCAGAGCAAAGTGGACTGGAGGTGTGGTTCAAGCCATAGAGCATCTGTTTGCAAGCATGAAGCCCTGAGTTCAAAACGAGTCCCAGAGAGAGAAAGAGAGAGAAAAGAAATGACTGAAGAAAGACTAAGGGTAATGGAGGAATCAAAAGTTCAGCTTTGGGGGGAGGGAGAAAAGAGAGAGGTGGAGGGGGGTGAATTCAAGTATGACATATTTGATACATTGTAAGAACTTTTATAAATGCCACAATGTACCTCCACCCAGCACAACAATAAAAAAAAAAAGAGTTCAGCTTTGGACATGTGAGATACTTACTTAAGTATTAGGCTTGTAAATCCAGAGTTCAGGGTCAGAGATACAAATTAGGAAACATGAGATTGGAAGTTTACCAGGGGAGTTGAGTAGACTTGAGAAGAAAGTTAACCTGAGTGTACTTCTTTTTTGCCATGCTGGGGATTGAACCTAGGCAAGTACTGTACCACTGAGTTGTACTCCTAGACCCCGGTTATACTTCAATGTTTAGAAACTGAGTAAACAAAAAAGATCCAGGACAAGTGGTAGACTGTCTGCCTAGTAAATGCAGAGCCCTGAATTCAAACCCCAGTATCAATTAAAAGGAAAAAAATATTCAGGTAAAGAGAGTAAGTAGGAGAGCCTCCAGTGAGGTAAAAACAGTGAAGTTTTCAAAGATGTCTGCTATTTTAGGAAGACTGACTTGGATGAGAACTAAGAATTGACTATTGGATACAACACAGATGTTCTTAATTTTTTTAAGTATACATATATGTTTACATCATCAAAAATCCACCAAAGTGCCAAAAGGGCATCAGGCAGCATGGGTCCTCCCAGCCAGTACAGACCAGGAAGGGGGCTAAAGTCCCCAAAGTTCAACTCTTACCCGTGGAAGCTTCCTTGGCATGCCTTTGCCACCTGCCTCAGTGCGTCTTCCACGTACCCACTTTCGGCTTTTCTGGAGTTTAGGGCAAGGGACTGGACTCTCTTCCAGTGGAGCCCCAAGGCCTCTCCTGGATGGTGTCCTCCAATGCTCCTGATTTCTACTCATATCTCCAAGCCCACAAACTCAGGATGGATGACTCTGGGTGAGCAAGTCAGGCCAGGAGGGCTACTCATGATTGTCTTTTTATAAAGAGAGATAGTGAGTTCAAAGGCATGATTGGAGTGGAAAAAGAATGAAAAGATACTGAGTTGATCTCCAGCACTGGAAGGAAGGAAGGAAGAAAGGAAGGAGAAAGAAAGAAAGCAAACAAACAAGCTGGTGCTGGTGGCTCACACCTGTAATCCTAACTATTCAAGAGGCAGAGATCAGGAGGATCATGGTTCGAAGACAGCCCTGGGCAAATAGTTCACAAGACTCTGAAAAAAAAAAATCACAAAAAAAGGCTTGTGAGTGGCTCAAGATGTAGGCCTTGAGTTCAAGCTCCAGTACAGAAAGAAAGAAAAGAAAACCAGGTCATACATATTGTGACCTAGACTCAGAGCCCTTCCCCTTCATCTCCCCAACTCCTGGGAAATGGAGGAACAGGAATTCTTTTTTTAAAAAATTTTTTATTAGAATATATTTGTTGTACTTGGGGAATTCACTGTGACTTAGATTGTACATTGATTAGATTGTCCCCATCTCTCCCCTTCAACTCCCTCCCAGCCCCACTTCAAGCAATTGCCAGAGGTTTCATTGTTCTATTTCAAATAGGTATATGAAGTCCATCAACTGTGCTCCTTCACCTTAATCTTCTCCTTTTTTCACCCTCCCCCCCCACAAGTACCCCTCCCCCACATATTATACCAATTTTATAGTCCTGTCTTTCGTTATTCATTTCTAAGTCAATGTTTAAAGGAGTTTCTCAATGTATCCCTGCTGTGATTATATTTTACTTTGGTCCATTCAACCCTTTCCCTCCCACCCCACCTTTTTTGACAGCTTTCAATACATATGGTTATGTTCTCTGCCTTCACAGATGTTGATGCTCTTTCTCTTTTCCTTTCCTTCCTTCCCTGAGAGGAACAGGAATTCTTTCTGGAATGGTGGGACAAAGGGATACTGGCTCCTTTCCTGTCTCCCCACTGTTGCTTAGCCCCAGTAGACCCCTGTCTTCTAACCTGCTTTCTACCCCCATGGGGTTGTATCAATCCACCAGACCAAAAGGTGTGACCTACACCACAGTGGGGAGAAATTCTAAGGGATAGTGTTCATTTATTTGAGCCATCTAGACTGGGTTTTGGAACCACAGAGGATGACTGGGCTATTTCACCTTGTCACTCAGGGATAAATATTTGGAGGGGACAGTTACACTGTGCAAGGAAAAGGGCCTGGGAAGGACATAGCCTTAAAAAATGACCTCCATAAAGCTTTGTTTAGACTAGTACATGTCTCATTTAAAACACAAGTGTAGCCAGGTGCTGGTGGCTCATGCCTATAATCCTAGCTTCTCAAGAGGCAGAGATCAGGAGGATCGTGGTTCAAGACCAGCCTGGGCAAATAGTTCATGAGACCCTATCTCAAAAAAAAAAAAAAAAAAAAACTCATCACAAAAAAGGGCTGATGGAGTGGCTCAAGGTGTAGGTTCTGAGTTCAAACCCCAGTACCACACACACACATACACACACACACACACACACACACACACACACACACAAACACACAAAGCAAGTGTCCCAGGAATAGTAACTGAATGTCATTCTATTTACTCCTTAGAATGATTTCCACCTTAGTGGGAAAGTCTGATAATTTCTGGGACCCTTTAGGGTCAGGCCTGGGTAAATTAACCAGAAAGCACCCTAAAAAAATAGGGAAGATGGAAAAAAGAGGCCCCAAAAGGTAGACAAAAATCAGTTTTACCTCTCTCAATTTTGAGGGCTCCAGCCTGCCATTGCTGCACAGTGCAAGCAGCTGGAAGAGTAAATAGAGCATGGGCTTTGGGTCAAATGGTCTGGGCTTTTGTTGTTATCATTGCTTGTTTGTTTTGTCTTTATGAGACAGGGTCTCACTATGTAGCTCAGGCTGGCCTTGAACTCTCTCCATCCTCTTGTCTCAGTCTCCCAAATACTGGAATTACAGATGTGTACCACCACACATGGCTTTACTACTTATTCATTTATTAGCTGTGACCTTGGACAACTACCTCATCTATTGTTTTCTCTGTGAAATGGGACAGAGGAGAGATGTAAAAGAGCAGATCTGCCGGGTGCAGGTGGCTCACGCCTATAATCCTAGCTACTCAGGAGGCAGAGATCAGGACCCAGCAAATGATTGTGAGAGTATCTAGAAAAACCCATCACAAAAAAAGGCTAGCAGAGTGGCTCATGTGGTAGAGTGCCTGTCTAGTATGAGGCCCTGACTTCAAACCCCAGTATTATCAAAAACAAACAAACAAACAGAAACAAAAACGGATCCTCTCCTTCCAGGGGCCATCTCTGTGTGGTCCTGGGGCATGATAACCAGGCTGGCAGTGCCCCCTATGTTCTATAAAGGGAAGGGCAGCTGCTTCTTCAATAGAAGATCACCATGGTCTTGAAGCTGAATTGCATTCCCAAAGAGAGAACAGTGTTCAGTGGATGAGATTGGTCACAAGCCATCTAGGTATATTTGTTATGAAAGTGGAAGAACAAAACAAAATAGCACAACAAACAGTTTTGGGGTAAGACAGAAACTTGGTAGAAAAATCCCAAGAGAAGCAAACACTTGGAGACAGAAATCCCCTAGACTAGGTTCTTTCTGTTCAGTCAACATCCCTATTCTTCCCAGTTCCTGCCTCCAATCACCACACACACACACCTGACACCTCCTCCATTACCCATCCTTTCTGAGCTTAGTTGCCAAAGACTCAGCCACACAGGCCTGGCTCATCTTCATACTCTCTTCATTGTAGGTTCAGCTACCTTCCTCAATGACATGCATAGGTTGACACATGCCACAGGGTGACACACCACAGGATGACACAGGGTACACAGGGCAACGGAGTGACACATACACATACTCATCCACTCACCTGCAAACACAATCCCAGACACTGCTTCCGACAAGCTTCTGGGTCTCTCCTGTCATAGGCACCACCTCCTTCCTGCACACTTGACACAGTACCCCAGGCAATGAATGTGACAAAAATGACCTGAGCTAAATTCCAAAATTCTTTGGAAAGGATTCCTAATCTTCCTCGATAGAACTAGGAACTTCTGAACGCGCTAACACACAGGGGCATGCCCCCTTAGAACACGTGATCATTCTTGCTCTCACTCACATTGTTTTATACACACACACATACACACACACTCACGCGCACGCAGACTCCAGGTTTCTCTCCCCTGCCGGTTCCATTTGGTCTGCCCACCCCGCCACCCCACCCCCGGGAATCCCTGACCACAGCTCCACCCATGCCCCTGTCTCCCTCTTTTCCTTCTCTATCCAGCCGTCGGGGCGGGGGGGGGGGTTCCTGGGCGGGGAAGCGTCTCTCCAGAGTCGCTGGCCAGAACCACAGCTTTCCTTCCGCCATTCAGTATGGGGGAGAGAAGGGACACCGGCGGGGCAGGGTGACGTCGAGGGGACAGCCCCACCTCGCGTGGCGAGGCAGTTTGGGCTCCGGGAGGGTTTTCCCCAAGCACATTGTCGACGCGCCCCCTGGCGGATGCTGATACCCGACGGACGCGAAGAAAAGTGAGGCGAGCGCGCGTGGGAGGGCGTCCCAAGGGGAGGGGTCGGCGGCCAGTGCAGACCCGGAGGCGGGGGCCACCAGGCAGGGGGCGGGGGGTGAGCCCCGACGGCCAGCCCGTCACCTCTCTGCTCAGACGGGCGGGAGCCACGGCCCCGCTCGCTGCCCATTGTCTGCGCCCCTGACCGGTGCGCCCTGGTGTCACAGTGCGGCCCGGCGGGGCAGCCTCTTCTCGTCATTCCAGCCAGCGCCGCAACTATAAGAGGCGGTGCCGCCCGCCGTGGCCGCCTCAGCCCATCAGCCGGGACAGTAAACCATGCTGCCCGCCGCCCGCCTCCAGAGTTGTTAGAGACAGACTGCGAACTCTCGAACTCTCGCCACTGCCGCCACCGCCGCGTCCGGTCCCACCGTCGCGGGCAGCAGCCAAAGTCGCCACAACTGCGGCATAGAACCGGCAAGGCCAGGCAGGCCATGGGGCGCTGGGCGCTGCTGCCCAGCTGGGTTTCTGCTACGTTGCTACTAGCGCTGGCCGCTCTGCCCGCAGCTCTGGCCGCCAACAGCAGTGGCCGATGGTGGTAAGTGAGCTGGTGCGGGGTCGCCACTTGTCCTGGGGGCGCAGAGCCAGCAGCCAGCTTTACCCAGCTCTCACGCTGTGGGATCCGTCAGCCCACAGACTCCCTCCGTGCTCTGACTTCACTCCACCACAATGAGGGCACTCTGGCCGGGAGTTGCCCCAGAGACTCCAGCTCTGATGAAGTGGGGCGAATGACTTTGCCTGCAGAGGCGCATGGCACTCCAGACAGGGAGCGCACTCCCATCAAACATCATCCTTTCCCTTTGAACCCCAGTTCCAGCCTCATGGGTGGAGGCTGTTTCCCCTGGTCAGGTCAGGAGCCAAGGCCAGGTGTTAGCTTAGAAAGGAGGTGAGAGAGGGTGGGTGGGACTCCTAAGCACTTCAGTCCTTGGGTGGGCAAGGACTGCAGGCCAGGAATTCCTTCCAGGGCCTGAATGGAAAGAGAACCAAGATAGACATGCAGTCTCTGGGTTCCCCGTGTCTCCTCTGCCTAGGGCTCCTGGGTACAAAAAGTCTGGGTGCTCAGTACTTTCAGGGAACATTTTAGTCATTACCTTATTATTGATCTCCAGCAGCTCTCTCCAGGCACATAGCCTCAGGCAGAGGACAGGGTAGGCACAGCCTTTATGGGTAGGGTGCAGGTCCCCTTCCCGAATCTGAGCTCTCATTATGCGACCCACCAGGGGCATCGTGAATGTAGCCTCCTCCACGAACCTGCTAACTGACTCCAAGAGTCTACAGCTAGTGCTGGAGCCCAGTCTGCAGCTGCTGAGCCGCAAGCAGCGGCGGCTGATCCGCCAAAACCCGGGGATCCTGCACAGCGTGAGCGGTGGACTGCAGAGCGCCGTGCGCGAGTGCAAGTGGCAATTCCGGAACCGCCGCTGGAACTGCCCCACTGCTCCAGGGCCCCACCTCTTCGGCAAGATCGTCAACCGAGGTGGGTGCCCCGGAAGGCGACGCTTCCGGAACTAGGGGAAATGCAGGGTCACCCCTAGGGCATAGGCGGGAGAGTACAGGGAAGATGTCCCAGGCGCGCAGCGTTACAACATCAACCTACCAAGTGCCTCATGCTGGCCAGCTAGCTCCGGGACAGACTTTCTACAGGCTCTTTCCGGCCGTGCATCTTGGGCACAAAGCCTAACTTTTCTGTGCCACTGTCCCAGGGAACGGGATTTCTGGATGCGCGCTGACCCACACAGCCTTCGTCCAGCTTGTCTCAAAGGTGCCTGGGAAGCTGATCTCTGAGGACATGTGTCATTCTTCGTGCCCAGCAAAGCTTGTACCGCCAAAATGGGCCAAAAGTTTGGGTTACGGAGAGGTCTAGGTGATGCGGAGTTCTTTGCTCCCCTCCTTTCAGTTTTTAATCTGTGGAGCGGCCCCATTTCGGCTCTAGAGCCAAAAAAAAAAAAAAGAGCCCTGAGAAGTCTCATTAAGGCGTGATTACGAGCGTGCTCGTGGGTAGGTGCCCACGCACCAGACCTGGAAACCAGCTTTCCAGCACTATCGTCCGATCTCAGGATTCATTACAAGGGTGGAGTGGGGGCGTTGGACTACGGGGCCCCAAGCCCTTCAAGGAGGGTGCCCTGAGCGCCCTCTCATTATCCCTGATCTCTTCATCCTCAGGCTGTCGGGAAACAGCATTCATCTTCGCTATCACCTCCGCCGGGGTCACCCATTCTGTGGCGCGCTCCTGCTCCGAGGGCTCGATCGAGTCCTGCACGTGCGACTACCGACGGCGCGGCCCTGGGGGCCCGGATTGGCACTGGGGGGGCTGTAGCGACAACATCGACTTCGGCCGCCTCTTCGGCCGGGAGTTCGTGGACTCCGGGGAGAAGGGACGGGACCTGCGCTTTCTAATGAACCTTCACAACAACGAAGCGGGGCGCACGGTGAGTCCGCCTGAGAGTGCTCCGCAATCGAAGCAGGGTGGCAGGGGCTAACCTCGGGCTCGGGAAGTAAAGGTCGGTGATAAAGCGAGGGGCACCAGGAAAGGGCGCTCTCAAGGGAGCGGGAGTCTTGGTAGGAAGTTGGAGAAGAGATGGTGACCGAGAGCAAAGGGATGCCGGTGCTGAGGGCAGATAAGATGGAAAAGGTTACAAGACACGTACATAGAAATAAATTGCCTACGGCCCTCCATCGCACAGATTCGAAAAATAAGGCTGAGAGACCGAGCCTGACTCGCTAGCATGGAGCTGAGTTTGGCTAAAGGTCCAAATCTCGAGGAGACATTTTGTGCCTCCTCCCTCAGGCTCGGCTAGGCCTGAGCTTTTTGCAGAGGTCCCGGCAGCGTCCGGGAGGGGGCAGCATCTAGAATGATGGCATTGGCTCTGCCAAGTGCCCTGGGACACCTTTTCTTCCCTCCTTCCCCCAGACCGTGTTCTCCGAGATGCGCCAGGAGTGCAAGTGTCACGGGATGTCCGGCTCGTGCACGGTGCGCACGTGCTGGATGCGGCTGCCCACGCTCCGTGCGGTGGGCGACGTGCTGCGCGACCGCTTCGACGGCGCCTCCCGCGTCCTCTACGGCAACCGGGGCAGCAACCGCGCTTCGCGGGCGGAGTTGCTGCGCCTGGAGCCCGAAGACCCTGCACACAAGCCGCCCTCCCCCCACGATCTCGTCTATTTCGAGAAGTCGCCCAACTTCTGCACGTATAGCGGACGCCTAGGTACCGCTGGCACAGCAGGGCGGGCATGCAACAGCTCATCGCCAGCGCTGGACGGCTGCGAGCTGCTCTGCTGTGGCCGGGGCCACCGCACGCGCACGCAGCGCGTCACCGAGCGCTGCAACTGCACCTTCCACTGGTGCTGCCACGTCAGCTGCCGCAACTGCACGCACACGCGCGTACTGCACGAGTGTCTGTGAGGCGCTGCGCGGACTCGCCCCTGGGAACAATGTCCTGCAGCCTTCCCCAGACAGACTCGCTGGCACTCGATACCCTGATATTCGCCCACCCCAGTACCTCCAGCCACATTCCTGCGGTTCGTACGTGTCCCATCTCTCCCACCTCCTTCTACCTGGGGACTCCTCAAACCACTTGCCTGGGGCAGCACGAACCCTCTTGCCATCTTGAGGGACCTGCCCCGACCTACCTCCCTCCCTCTCCGCGGGAGACCCCTTGTTGCACTGCCCCCTACTTGGCCAGGAGGTGAGAGAAGGTTTCGTCCCCTCCCCCATGGGGTCAGCTCCTGACGGTGTGGGGCTCCCTGATACACTGCTCCTCCGACCTCTCTCCCTCTCTCCTTCCTCTTTGTCTTCCGTTTTGCAGGCCCCTTCCCATTCTCCAGCCAAGGGTGCAGACCTTGAGCACACTCCTGGGTATTAGGACCTTTTTCCTCTCCACCTGCAGGAGGTTCCAGGGTGGAAGGGCAGCTGTGGTGATATGGAAAATGAGGTTGGGGAACCCAGCAGAAAACCCCCCATTCTCCCAGCCTCTGTCATGCAGCCATTGAACAGCTGTGAGCCATGCCTCCCTCGGCTGCCTCCTACCCCTTCCTGTCCTGCCTCCTCATCAGTGTGTAAATAATTTGCACTGAAACGTGGATACAAAACCACGAGTTTGGTTGTTGTAAATAAAACTATTTATTGTGCTGGGTTCCAGCCTGGTTTGCAGAGACCACCTTCACCCCAACCCATTCCCTCTCCATTCTTCTCTCATTTTGCCCTCCAACCTTTTCTCTACCTGTTTCTAAAAGATGTCTTTGCCTACGGGGATCAGTATTTCCTTCCACTGTAGCTATTAGTGGCTCCTCGCCCCCACCAATGTAGTATCTTCCTCTGCAGAATAAAATCTCTATTTTTATCAATGACTTGGTAGCTTTCCTTGAATCCAGAACATGGTTTGTGGTGTCCCCGTTCCCTCCTCTTACCACTCCCAGGCTTGGGTGCTTACCCCTCTTAAACAAATAGGGTAGATACATTGTTGAGAAACTGTTTTTCTTGGCCCTGCAAGAGGACCCTGAGATTCTGACCCTTACATGACCCTAATGAGGCTGCTGGGGATCTAAGTCTCCTGAGAGAAGAGCCTGGTCAGGAGCCAAAAGATCTTGCAAGGTTCTTCTTCCTAGTCTCAAGTAGCTACCTGTGTGATAAGGACATATACATTCACTTAATAAATGGGGATTAAGCAAACTCTAAGTCTCCTTTTCCTACCTGGAAGAGTTGTTGTGAAAGTAGCTCCAGTCCAGTGATAGCTATGACCATATTCTGAAAAGCAGGAAGAAGGGGCTAGTAGAATGGCTCAAGTGGTAGAGTGCCTGCCTAACAAGCATGAGGCTCTGAGTTCAAATCCCAGTACACACACACACACACACACACAAAGCAGGCAGAAAGGCTGCTGTTGTCTCTGATGTGGAGTTATTGGTACCTGAAGCTTTCTTCTATTGGAATCTAGGAATTGGGCAGTGGTTAAGAACCCCTCCCTTTCCACAAGATAAGGTTACTTGACAAGGTAAAACTTTATTAGGACCCCAGCTCCCAACCTGGGGCTCAGGAAGATCCAGGGAACAGGTGATGGGCTCTAGTCCTGAACCCTAAAACTCAAGAGATGTTCATGGGAGAGAAGAAAGGAGCAGGAGGTGTAGAAACCAACACAGTTGAGGCTTAAGCCAACAAAACCAAAAGGAAACTCAAGTGTGGTGCATAAGCAAATCATTAAACTAGCCACTCCTACAAAGAATCAGAATGAAGATTCTGTTACCAACAACCCCTACAGGATACCTCCGGTACATGGGCATTCACCAGAGTCAGCAGGAGTGCTAGTCTGCTCAGAGCCCTAACCTATCTCTAACTCTAATCCTCTCCCTTTCCCTAGGTGTAGGTCAAACCCTAGCCTTAACCTTAACTGCAGACAACACTAACCCCTTCCTAAATTCCAAGGTTTATCCCTAATCCTAACTCTTCCTCCCAGGGTAGGACCAGAAAGGCAGTGGGAGCTATGAAGCACCTCACCCCCAAAGGGCAACAAGGGTTCCAGCATCTTGAGAATCACCCCCCTCTCCTCAAGACTCCTGTGCTGTTGTTGCTGCCTCTCAGCAATCCCTGGATGGGTAAAATATGACCCTTGTTGGTCAGATTTCCTTTGGAAAGCAAATAGAGCTAGGACCTGTTCAATCCTGCAGTGACATCCCTTTCCCTTTTTCTCCATTGGCCAAGCCAGTCCCATCAGCTATCATGGGCAGCCTGGGGAAGGAAAAACATCCTATTGATCCTGTGTAGGAGGCACCTGAAAGGCTTTGAGTTTCTGGTAAAGAACATCATGCAGAGAATGGTCAATCCATAGCCCAAAGAGCTGTTAGCTCCCCCAGCTCCCAAAGTAAGAAGTTACTGAGCTGCCAGAGGTGAGAAAGGGGCTTAGGCCACTGCTGCACAATGCCCAGAGTTGGGAAGAAGCAGCAGGTGGGGAGTCCAGGACTAACTGTCTCTAACCACTTTCACTTGAAAAATTGGAGCTTTTAGGCCTACAAGTTGGGGTGCTGTGAGCGGAGCTGACACACATGAGCTGGAAGAAGAGGAGAGGAAGAAATGCATTATTTTCTGCCCCTAATTAGACATTCAATACATCTCTTGCTTTCTCAGCCTCCGTTGCTTTGACCAGCAAACAGGGATGGGTATTGTTCCTTATCCTTCAGGGAAGTAGTGAGGTTAGAATGAGATCATGTATGCAAGGCTTGGATCATTTGAACACTTACTGACAACTCCTCTGTACCAGGCATATGCCAAATGCAGCAATACACTGATGAACAAGTCAGAGTTTCTGCTTAGAAGAGTTTATAGTTCAGCCAGGGAATCAAACACATTAACAGACACTGTCAGTCTATTGAGGGAGTGCAATGAAGACTACATGAAAAGCCTTTGGCATATGCATGATGTTTAAGGACAAACTGCCATACCCAAGCCCTCAGCATGGAGGCCCTTCTCTTCTAGGGACTGGGACTTTGAAAAGGAGGACTGCTGGAGGACTGGAGGTGTGGCTCAAGCAGTAGAACATCTGCTTTGCAAAGCACAAAACCCTGAGTTCAAACTCCAGGCCCACCAAAAAAAAAAAAAAAAAGAAAGATAATTCTTTGCAGGCGCCAGTGGCTCACACCTGTAATCCTAGCTACTCAGGAGGCAGAGATCAGGAGGATAATGGTTCAAAGCCAGCCAGAGCAAATAGTTCATGAGACCCTATCTTAAAAATGGCTCAAGTGGTAGAGTGCCTGCTTAGCAAGTCTGAGGCCTTGAGTTCAAACTTCAGTACCGCTGAAGAAAAAAGAAAAGGAGGACTGCAGGAAAGTACAGAATAAGGTTGGGTCCTAACAGGGAATGCACTAATGAAATGAAAAACCTCAAGTGAAAAGGCTGGAGATGTAGCTCAGTGGTAGAGTGTTTGCCTAGCATGTGCAAAGAATCCAGCATTGGAAAAAAAAAATGAGGGGGAGGGTTGGCTGGTAGAGAGGCAGTAAGAGCACCTGCCTACATGTGTGAGGCCCTTAGTTCAAACCCCAGTGCCACCAAAAAAAAAAAAGAAAGGAAAAAGAAAAGGGCTATAGGGTCTGCAAAGCACTGCACAGGAGCTAATATTATTATGATCATCTGTGCTCTCTGTGATCTCTCACACAGGGTTAGAATGGGTAGATCCTGGGAAGAAAAGCAGCTGTGCCTAGAAAGAGTTTCACAGAGGTTTCAGGACCCAAAGCCGATCAGGTCAGTGGCCATAGGACAGTGTCCTCATGAATGTGCCTGATGCTCTAGCTCCCACCCACCTCTGCTTTTCAGGTGCCACACACACACACAGGGGGTTCTGAGGCTGGCAAGGACCCTGGACATAGGGTTGGCCTCAGTAAGTACTAGAGGAACCAGTCCTGAAATATCCTGGGGGTGTCGGAAAAGCTGAGAGGACTGAGACAACAGACCTGCACAGTCCCCAGGGGGTCAGCAAGCTGGCACCACACACACCCTGCCACACGCACCCTGGAAAAACCCTGTCAGTGGGACTGCAAATACCCTAGGGTCCAGCCTCACCCCCCTCCCACTGCCCCAGGCTGGCTCAATCCTCCCCTCCAGGCCAGAGGGAGAAAAATAACAAAATGAGGAGAAAATAAGCTGTTTGGCTGTGGTGTGAGCAGGAATATCCAGGCAGAGCTGCCCACCACTCACCCTTACTCACTCTTTCCACACCCAGCCAGGGCCCAGCATGAGACAGACCACCCTCCTGCCCCTCCCCCGTCTGGGCTAAAAGCAGACGCTGGTGAGGAGCAGCAGGTTATAAATATGCCCAGGGAACTGCCGCCAACTCGCTCCCTTGTCATCCCTTGGGAGGGGGTAGGGTGGGGTGGCTCCTAGGGAGGAGCCAGGACTGCCCTGTTCCCTGAGGCCCAGGAGGTAGTGGGGCTTCCAAAAGGCTATTGCATGGTTTATTTATTTATTTATTTATTATTTAACCTTTTTCAGGTGAAGGAACCTTAACTGCTGTCCCTTCATTTTCCCGGGGGGGGGAAGGAACTTTTGCTCATCTCCTTAAAGAAGAGGTCCCAAGGCCATAGCTGGAAGCTCGGTATGAAAGAGCTCAAAGCCACCCACTCTGTGTCATGGTGCAGCCCAGTGCCACTTTTCTTCACCCCATTTACCCTCCGCAAAACAGAAGTTCATTCATTCATTCAACAGGTGTTTGCTGAGAGCCTGCTAAATGTTAGGCCTAGTGCACAAGCGTGCACACATGCACTTGCACGTGCACACAACCCACCCCTGTGTCTAGGTGCTCAGCTCAGCCCCGCCTACTCCAGGATATCTTGGCTTTGACCTGGCAGCCTACTAGGGAAAGGTGAAGCTTTAGGCTCCTGGTTCTGTATTAGAGTAGGTTACTTGGGAGTGTGTGTGTGTGTGTGTGAGGTGGGCCCCTAAGCATGCCCACCTCTACTACGTCCCGATGAATGAAGAATCCTGTGGCCTCCTGTGGCCAATCATTCTCCCCATTTAAATGCCATGAACCTTGGGAAGAAAAAGGCACTCTGTAGGATGCTGTGAGTACCTGCCCAGGCCCCCAGAGCCTCCTGCCTCCCAGCCACTTTCCAAGTAGGTGCCCAGCTGGGCACGGAGAGCAGTGCCACCCTGTGAAACTTCTAGCCCTCCTCCCCCAGGGCAAACCCCTCCTTCTCCCTCCTTCCTATTAATCCTCGGAAGTGAAGGGGCCGTCCCTGGCGGCCCTTCAGTCCTATTGTGGCCCCTCGCCCTCCTCGGCTGGCGTCTAATTAACTCCTCCTGCCCCTGGTTTTGTGTGCCCCCCTTACCCCACCTTGTCGCCCCGCCCCTCCGCTCGGCCTGCTCCCCCCCACGGACATTCCAGCCAGGCCGGGCCAGTGTGCCAGGGCAACCAGAGCCGGACCGAGGCCTAATCCCCCCGCCGCCTGGCCCGGCTGGGGGAGCCCCACTCACCTCCCTGCTCTCTGGGGGCTGCTCGGCTCTGCTGTGGCCGAGACACACAATCAGGACAAAAGCACATCCCCCAGGGGGCTAACTCAGCCTTCACGCCCAGGTTGTGCAGCATTTGGGGAGTTTAATGAATTGTCCATCACGCCTTTCAGGGCCCGCCCGTCAGCCTGGATTAATCTTCGGAGCCCTGGTGGGGTAGGAGACACTAAGCCTGTATTTATTACTCTCCCATTGTCACTAATTGAGGTAATTATCTGTGACTCTGGCCTGGCCAACAATGCGGCATTCACTCCTGGGACCTCGATGGGCCTGGCTCCCACTCTCGGCACCAACCCTCCCTCCCGTCCTCTCCCAGACCCGCCAAGGGCTAAGATGCGCCCTGGAGCATGC